GTGGTTCACTGGAGTCCCAAAGCCTTAGAAATGTGACCCTTTCCAGGCTGATAGATGTCAATGATTTTGTTTCTCAGCTGTTTCTTAAGATCATGGTATGATGTGTTTCGTTCTGAGATCTTTCCTCAATTGTCAGACCGGTTCTATTTTAGTGTCTTATTGATTCAGTAGGTCTGGCAGTAATCTCTGGGTGTGGCTAAGAAATTGAGCCTTGCTTTCCAAAAATGTGGTTAGTCACATTTAATTCATAATTTAACAAGGGGACCAGCTACTTTTTCAAACAGGGCCAGGTAGGCTTGGATATTTTTTCTCCTTGATAAATGAAATAATCATTTAAAAACTGCATTTTGTATTTACTCGTGTTATCTTGATCTAATATTGAAAATTGTTTGGTGATGTAAAACATTTAAGTCTGACAATGATGCGAAACACTAAGAAATCAGGAAAGCAAATACTTTTTCACAGCAGTACATTCAGTATGTCCGTTTGCACATTTTCCATTTTCCTAGGAAAATATAAAGGAATAAAAGGTGGCTCAAGACTTTAATCTTTATTTTTCTTTGTACTGACAAAATTGATCAAACTGATGGAAAATAAATCTAAAGACACCTACACCGTGGTTTTATTTTATTTTATTTCACAACACTATTTTTAAAACGACATCTTTTTTTGTGTCGGGTGACTAAAATGTTTTCACCCCTAGGTTAAGTTTTGTCACCTATAACAACCTTGGTGTGGTTGCGTGTTGATATTTACATTGATCTTGTTTTCCATAAAAACAGGCACCTCATATTTCTATGCAACAGAACCAAGAATTGCACCTATTTCTCATCACAGCAATTCAATCTAAATTATAGCGAGTACTAGAGAATACCCTTGTGAATAGCCTCCATGCTGAAATGAAATCATGAAAGAGTAACATGATGGCAGAGTGGAGTGTGTGTGGGAGGGAGAGAGGTGTGTGTATGTGTGCGTGTGGGCGGCGGAGTGGGGCAGACCTGCATGGAGAGCACTTTGGCTTGTTTTTGTCATTACCGCGGTGAAAGTAAAGCACATTTCCAGGCATGCTGATGGGATAAGATGACCCCCTCCGGTAAACTCAGATTATATATATGGAGACGCGCTTGTCAAACAATAGGCTGCCTTGTTATGGTGGCCTTTGCTCAGGTTGCACATGTGAACACTATGGCTTGTTTACAGCGTGTACTGCACTGTGCGCACGCTCAAATATTTGCTGAAAACTCGTGGATTTATAACCACACATTCGATTTAGGCTCAAGGACACTTGCAGAGCAGAAGCTGGAGGATCAAACAAGCATCCAAACAATTAACCTGCTCTACCAGTGAATGTGCAGCCACTGTAACAAAAAGTTCAAACAGTTAATCTAAGCTTTCCTTAGCTACTATCGGATATTTAACGGATGCCTACATGTTTTTTTTTTTTGTTGTTTTTTTTTTACTTCTTTTGGAGTCCAAAGCCTTTCTACTTCTGAATCTTTCTTTCTCATGCAGCCAGATCTCTCTGCCCTCTGCACTGCATTTCATTTCTTACATCTGTCTCTGGACACTGTTATGCTGCAGACCTTGAGCTTCTGCATTATCCAGGTAGCTTCTATGTGCTCCTCAAAAGCTGCAGGTCATCACAGGATTCCTGCAACCCCCTTTCTGCTTTTCTTGGTGGATTTAAGTCCATTAACATGCTGTCTTTTCTCCATTCGACTTGGGCTCTCTCATCCTCCTGCGGCACAGCTCTTCTGCTTTTCTCCTTGTCCATAGTGATGGTCAGGTCTGTACTGATTCTTGTTAGATCTGAGCGTGATGCTTGTTTGAAGTTTATGGCTTTGAGTTGAACAATTTATCTCAGCCTTTGATACTGTGTTTCTAATCCAAAATGTCGTTTATGAGGCATATTTCCAAGATGTCAGTTGTTTTATCTCTGTCATCCTCTATTCCCTGTAGTGCCTCAGCACTGTGTCTGATACAGCATATGTTCTTAAACTAGGACATGAGTTTGCCTAGAAAGGCAGAGGAAAGAAGAAGAAGAAAGATGTGGGCAGCACATTAGTAGAAATGCAGATTTTTTTTACTCTCTAGAGATCCGCATGCACATCAATGTGATCTGACTTACAGGATGAACCTCACCCACTGGTTTGCCACTGGCAGCATATATATTTGCCAACTGCCATGACTGGGTTAACACATTTGTAGGCCCCAGGGCGAAAATTTGCAAATGAGCTTCTGCTGACCTCCTCCTACCTCTGTTCGATGTTTATGTGCTGTTTATGTCACCTCTGAATCGCTCCGCCAGTAAAAACGTTACAGATTCTCTTACAGCGCTAGCTTTTGTGTTTTCAGTTCTTCCTTGAGAGCAAAGGTAGAGACCAAGACAGCTTCATCATCATCCAACCAGACACCAGTGCTTGTGTAAAGTTATAATGCAGCGGCACTTCTGTTATATATTTTCAAATGTAGTCCTCTTTTAAAAGGCTCAACAGCAGTAACATGTCAAGAATAGTAGGTTTCTCCTTATCTGTTCTGAAAGACTTACTTAAAGAGCCTGTCAGGATTTTTCATTGACAAGAACAGGATGGATACGGCTGCCAGCAAGCTAACAAGCTGCTGTTGCTTGCTGCCTGCAGAACTCATTTAAATGAAGCTGGGCATGGTAGTAAGCTGTTTTACACCTGTCAAAGTCAGCACAGAGGATTTTTACTTTTATGTAACAAAGTGCTTAGTCATTATGATTCAAACCCCATGTGTAACAGAGGCTTTCTCTTTGAAGGTGCCACAGTAAAACAACTAAAATTAAAACAAAATATAAGCAAAATTCAAGCAACGTGTATACATTCAAAGGTCTGTAGACCATATAGTATCTGTGCAGGGAATGCGAGAGTCCTTTGCAGTGCAAAGAATGCTCTAATAAGTATTCAGGGCTTTAAATGGAAAGTGGACAGCTGCTGCGCAGGGAGCCCAGGAGGCTTGCATTGCTTAGCAATGACTTTGTGGTAATTTGATTAACTGACATTTAATTCAGAAATATGCATCTCTAAAGAACTGAAATAGCAAGAGCGCTGAGTATTATTGAGGGCCCTGTGACAGTATAAAAGATGTATGACTCCTGGCTCTGAAAATAAAACCAATGCTGAAGTGCCTTAGACCTGCATTCTTTTAAGTTGCTCCCAGGGGGCGACACTTGCGGTTGCAAAAATACTTATGCAGAGGTCCTCTTAGTTCCCTTCCTCTGTGATCTCAGTAACACAGAACGCAGTCAGTTTTGAATCATTTTGAATAAAACATGAAGTCCATTTTGTAAATTATAGGGGATTATCCAGGATATGCCCACTGGCTAATGCCTTGTCAATCACAAGTCATTAGCCAATGACTTTTCAGATCCACTGTGGAGGCTTAATAACTGGACTTCACAAACCAACAGGTGAATCACAGTGGCTATGTCCACATCTTATACTGTCTTTTGTTAGAACTCAGTATGAAAACATTCAATGCCATGCTTATGTTGTGAAGAAGTGTGGAGATTGGCTGGGGGACTGACATAGGTACTCAAAGGTGATGAGGCCCCTCGGCCCGCTAACGTGTCAGCTTTGCCCTGTAATACTGTACACCAGAAATTACTCTGCACACAGAAGTCCTTTTCTTTCCAATGGATAATTTATTATGTGTACACTTCTTACACATTATAAATATATGCACTAGTGCATGTGTGCTGGGCTATAATATGTAGTCTATACACTCACTGGACACTTTATTAGGCACACATAGATTCAACAAGGTGTTGGAAACACTCCTCAGAGATTCTGGTCCGCAATGATGTGATAGCCTCACACAGCTGCTGCAGATTTGTTGGCTGCATATCCAAGATGTGCATCTCCCGTTCCACCACATCCCAGCAGCATATTATGACTGTGGAGACCATTTGAGTACTGTGAACTCATTTTCATGTTCAAGACGCCACTTTGAGATGATCTGAGTTTTGTGAGATAGTGCGTTATCTTACTAGAAGCAGCTATCAGAAGATGGGTAGCTACATTGTGGCAATGGACTGACAGTCAGCCACATTACTCACGCTGTGGTGTATAAATGATGCTTAATGTGACAATCAGCTGCCTGAACAGGTAGAATGATTTCATACTTTCATAGCAAATTCTGAACCTACTGTCTGAATGTTGCAACAGAAAATTGTCTAACTGTGAATTGCAGCGCAGATTGTAGCCTGTTTTATGTTTTCTGATCATTCTCTGTAAAATCAGGATGTAGTATTCCAGCATTTCATCAGCTTTTGAAATAATCAGAACAGCCCATCTAGCACCAACAGCCACCCCACATTGAAAAAAGTCACTTAAATCACATTTCTTCACCATTGTGATTCAATTTCAGCTTCACCGGGTCATCTTGACCATGTGTACATGTTTAAATGCACTCATTTGCTGCCACGTAACTGCCCAATTAGAGATCTGTGTTAAGAATCAGTTGAACAGGTGTACCTTATGAAGTGGTCTGTTTTATATATGTATATATATCTCACCGATTTCACCACGTGTCCCTTTATTTACTCTTAAACAATACGTGGACATTTCACCAGTCATAGCGTCTGGTATACCGTTAGAAAAGAAGCACTTGAGGTGAAAACAATTTAAGCGGTAATTGCCTCACAACATTCAACATTTCCCACTTTGACAGCCTTCACATGCCGCAGCAGGCGGTTATTCGCCGCTAACAGGGCTGTGTTGATTGCAGACGTGAAAAACAAATGGGCTAGCGGGCTCTCTTATGGAAAGCAGGCAGGGCACAGTGGGGCTACAGTGACATTTTCCCCACATGCAAAATCATGCAAAAGGTAAATACTGAGGCGGAGGGATACCAACACTATTGCAGAACATGGCCGTCACCTCCGTCATGTCCTCTCCCGCAGACCGACCCACTCGTCTGCGATTGGACGAGAAGTTTGCACGTCAGCTCCCAATTGGACGAGCGTCACGTCGATCACGTGCTAATGTCAATGACGTCGATCGTACACTGGGTACGCTGTGTCGCTTGGGTGGATAGTATAGTTACATCAACATTAAAGGGAATAAAATGCCGCGGATTCATGTAAATAGAGACTTCGCTTCAGCGCTGATAATTAATGTTTCTTAATTAACACGGGTCACCTCTGGAGCCGGTAGTGGCAGGCCTATTTTCGGTGTTTATCAGCAATATTTCAGGGTAAGTGGAGTGATACATTTCCTTCCTGCGTCTTTTTTCCTTCACACGGGTGCAGACCTGCTTGCTTTATTATTTAAATACAAAAAAGTAATAAGCGAGACTACTGTGTTATATCACACAGATGCCCAGTCTTCACGTGAACATGAAATATCCGTGATATGATTAAAAGTAGTGCGTACTCCAGCTCGCCCTGCCGAGTTATATGGAGAGAGTGAGGAAGGTAATGGCTGTCGGTCGGACTCGTAACTAGAAAATTGTGAAATGGCCTGTGTAGAGTAACGTTAGCTCGTCCTTTGCTTTCCATGTTGGCTCCGGTAGTTATGATGTCCTAAACGGCTGCGTTAGGCTTTTAAAAAGCACGAACCGAGGATCTGACACTAGGTTTTGTCTCCAACATGTCAGATTAGATCCTGTAGGGTACCTGTCTGCCGTCAGTGGGCCTCCTCAGTATCCAGACTCCCATCTGTCATCATGGTTAGACAGTTTGGACTCCTGCACCCACTTTGTTAACAAAAAAGGGGGAAAAAAATCCACTTTAACCTAATGTGGTCTTCACATACCAGATCTCACACGGTTATTAGTTTAACGCCATTAAGGAGAAAACAGTCCAAGTGCACATAAAGGAGAGCTATTGTTCAAAGCTGTTCACCCTGCTGCTGCATTTTTTTTATTATTATTTTTTAAATTATTTTTTTTAGCTCTTCACAGGAGCCCGAGGGAAAATATATTTCACTTTCCTGCACTGGTTTACGTGTGTGCAGAACAATGCACATAATATTTAAAAGCGCTAACAATCAGTGGTCACACTACAATGTCCATATTTGTGTGGTCTTTTTTTGTTGCGTTGTTTATTAATACTTAAAAGTAATTCCAGTGAAATTGGGGCTCTGATGTGGTTTAGCAGAGAGGCTGGCCCGTGCAGCCATGATTTTTCTGTGCCCTCCTATGGTAGATGCCAGTGCTGCTGGGCTATAAGTAGGCCACTTTGACAGGGTGATCCACCGCTGTGAGGCGTCCCTGCAGATGGATTCATATCAACATCCCTCGGTAGTGCAGCCCCACTGACCATCAGCACAGATTTTACACATAATTTCTCGTTTATTGTGATGTGTACTGTATGCTGTGGATTGAGCATAAAATCCTCATGTTTAAATGTTTCAAAATGTCACCTTATTATTTGGATTGCAAATGCTTCCCAGTTCTGGTCCTCTGCTGGCCTGGCAGCAGGATCAACATGCTGGCAGGCCAAAAACTTTGCTATCTTCAAGTGAAATATCTGATTAAAATGAGAAAAACAACATTGATATAGAAGCGTGTTGCCACCTCGGGGTTAGGATTTAAGCTGACAAAGCTGGAAATGGTTGCCAAGTTGAACGGAATGAAATAGTTTCTTCACAACAACAAATCATTAAGATAGCATCGTGCTCTTAGGTTATGGACAGTGATTGCATGCCAAGTTTTGTCCTTCTGACCTGGCTGAAATAGTCCATCCATGTAAGGATAGTTTTAATTTGTTTCCCTTTGTGTTTAGTGTGCCTTGAACTGAAAGCTCATTAAAATTGCAATAATTTTCCACTCAAATAACACCTCATCACATTGAATTTATTAAGGCTTGAGGCAGGTCTAAGAAATTTGGATGTTTTTGCTTTAGAAGCATAATTTGCTAGAGTAATGACATTTCTTTATATCTTCTTACGACTTTATTACTTACATGTCTAATGCTTTTTGCTCTTAAACAGTAATATTAGTTGGAAGGTTTTGGAAGGTCAGACATTGACTTGTTTGGTAAAGTTCATTTAATAGGAAGACACAGTGTAACACTGTCCTAATGCACAAACTGGCAACATATGCGAGTCCTTAGTAATATTTTTTTGCTTTTAAAATGACAGTGTCTAGTTAAATCTCGTTTAAAAAAAAAACAGCTTTATTTAAATTGGAAAGCTTGGAGCCCTAAAGCAATTAGGTGGTTAATTGAGGAGTTGAGTTACGAAAAAATGGAGACAGATATGCGAAACACTCCCTGAATTCAGCTCCCTAAATGGTGCTTTTTTTTCTTGGTCCTATATGAAACCTAAAGATGCTACTTTAGAAATTACAAAGAGATTTTTCTCCATTGCCTGAGATTTTCTATGCAGCACCTTAATAATCAATGTGTTGTTGCCTTATGTTGTCAGGTGGATGCAAAGTCACAAACTGTGAGTGTAAATCAATTCTATCCACCTTTTGGCTGTGGGAGATTGAGCCATTAAGGCCATCAAGTACTGAATCCTTGTCTGGGAGCCGGGCAAACCCCATTGCTAGTCACGTTTGAGGCTCCGACCATTTATCTCAGGGGTTTGGCACATTTCATTGGGCAGTGCGTAATCCGCTAAAGGTCACTGTCACTAATTACACTACTCCAAAACAGGCAGATGCCTACCCTGAGCTTGATTGCGCCACCCTTCATTAGGAGACTATTCAAGGGTTGCATAAGCATCACTTGCATGATTCGAATAACATATGTGTGGCTCTTTTTCTTTTTCCTAACCAGAGTGACCAAATGCCTTTCCTCCTACGATGATGAGGCACACCTGGTCCAGCTGAAAGTCATTCATTTGCCACTGTCACAGACTTTTTAAATAGTGTCTTTTAGATCGACTTGCGCCTTTTCTGGCTGATTGGCTTCCTGCGTCTGAGCGAGATTGGTTCGACTGGCTGCAGGGCTCAGTTTTAGCCCAGCGGTGATCTCGTTATCTCAGTGTCCAATCAGTCCTCCGGCCACCTCCTAATTGAGCCATCGCGCCTTAAGGGGGAAGAGGAGGGATGAACGTGTCAATTACAATAATGAGGGGGCAGCCATGCAGAGGGCAGTCGGGGAGAGGAAGGCTAGACAGAAGCCTTGCAGCGTCGCCCCGTTATGGTCAATTCACGACTAATCAAAGATAATATTGTAGCCTGACAGTGCCAAAGTTAGCAGAGTCAGTAGGGAAGAGCATTTTTTAAAATCATTTTCCCCTCTAGCTGTGGGATATTTCTACATGTCGTGTTGTGGTAATTGTTAGAGCCGCTGAGTGATCCATTAACACTGCTGTGGATATAGATTTAATATACGGAAAGCTCGGTCTAAGCACAACTCAAAGCACCTAATGCTCATGCATCTGTATGTGTCAAGTAGCTTTTTGGGCTCGAGGGTTATTGGATTAGTTGTTAGCCTGTATTTAAAAAGGTCCTTCATAAAATGTTGTTTAATAAAGGACACCAATATTAGCAGTAATAGTAATATTATTATTATTACTGCAGGCTTTGTGAGCAGAGGACTCGTGCAAAAACATGACATTTTGAGCACTTTTTATGACTTGACAACGATGATGATGCTGATGCTATTAAAGACTAGTAGGTACACTCATGAACGGATTCACAGCTAATAAGATGAACCTGTGTGTCGATATGGCAGCCACTACTGCTGTTTATACACATAAGGTACTTGGAAAGATTTAGCTCATTAGCAGCTTAATCAATCAGCCCATTAATTGATTGGTAATTACTCTGTGTTTTCCCAGCTTCACAAAGCTGCAGATTTTTGGTGTTGCTGTAAAAGACTTTAAAAGCTCAGATGGTCACGCAAAGCATGATGATATGAAGATGTCACATTGGAGGCTGATGTGTCACAATGGTTTGATTGTTATAGAAGTGTTAATTTCCTGTTTTTATATGTGGATTTTCCATATATTGCTGTAAGTTGCTGTTATCATTTCCATTGCATCAAATAATTACTTTTTTTTTTGTCACTACGGGCCTTTATTAGTATTAGTGTATAACGAACCATAGAATCTATTGAGCGATACACTTAAACAAACCATCATTATTCAGTTGGTAATGCTAGTGTTGTGAAGGGGGTTGTATTTTAACTCAGACCACAATCTGTAACACAACCAGACAACATAGTTTTTGCTGTCTAAACCTAACCAGTGACTGAAAGCAAAAGTAAAAAGCCAGCGCAAACAAGATGATCATCAAGTGAAAACAAAGCACAAAAGTCAAACATCTAAAATTTTGTAGCTGAGAGTGTGTTAAAACCAAGGATGCTGTTTCTGATATCTTTATCTATGAGGAATCTGCATTATATCGAGTAACAAAAAAACACTTACACTTCCGTATAAGCCAGAATTTAAAAGTGATTGGAATCGTTTTTATGCGAGCTGACACGGGTACGGGGGCACGTCACAGCCCGCTGTGACTAAATGAATGTAAGTGATAGTGAAAATACACTGTATGGCCACACCTGACCCGCTCAGTGAGATTATTATTTTCATCTCCAGAGAAAATTGGTTGGCTGGCGAGCAGAAAAGTCATAATGGATAAATTGAGGAAAAGAAATGATAGCAGCTGCTGTGGGTTCAGGTGGCGGTAGAAGAAATTCAAAGTTGACCGAACAAACTAAAAAAAAAAAAGACCAGTTTAAACATTTACACGATCAGGACGTCTTGTATGAATTCATAGGTGCAGCTCTGGTTTGAGTTTTCACCAGTTAATTCTCAGTCTGGACATTTGTTAAAATGTGGGTTATTTTTTTTGGGAAGCCCCATGTGCACTCCAGTGGCGTTTTCATTTTTTCCGTCTGGCCTAACAACAGTCCCACAGGAAAGCTCGGATGCGGAGGGTCAAGACTGGAGGGAAAACTTAACACAATTGCCACAGAGCCGAGCCCACACGTAGGAAAGAGAATGGGGTTTAGGTAATGTGTTTAGTAAAATGTGAGCTGAAGATAAAATTGGTTGAGGAAAGAAAAGTAGTTTTGCTGTGAATTTTCAGGCCAGTAAGGAGATTAGAACAGGTTAGTTTTGGGGTCCATTTCACAGATGTGATGAAATCTGTTTAACATATTTTTTATTACATAAAAACATAGATTTTAAAATAACAGAGATTGCTGGAACTCGGTCCATTGACTGTCTGTTGTTGTCAGTAAGATCACAAAGAAAAGCAGCACTTTCTGAAATACCAGGATTTTCTGTCCTTCCACTAATTAATAGACAAAACAAATTTTCCTTTCAGCTCAGGGTAGCGCTTGATTTAATGTACCACACCAGGCAGCTCCCATAAATGCAAAGCATCAGCATTGCACCTGACTGAGTTTAATGAAATGTTCTTGCTAAAACTGTGATTAATGAATGATTAATTGTGCATCCCGAATGTAATATAGATTAATTAAAAGCTCTCGCTGCAGATAGGATAAGTGCACCTGTGCAGTATGTGACTCTTAATGACTTTTAACTCATTATCATGCAAAGTAAAAGTGGCCAACTGCTTATGTATTTGTAAATACATAAGCAGTTAAATATTTGTAAGTACTGCAGCTGTTATAAGATCGACCCTTTAACAAAGCTCATTACCCCGGGTGTCCCGGGTACAATCACAAAGTGCCAAGTCACTTCATTCTCAAATCTATGTTTTTCCCAAGTAGCAGATTAGAGCTACAGTGGAGTTGTTAAGGATTTCTGCCAAAAATGTGTTTTTAAACGTGTGTGTGAAAGAAAAACTAAAATAAAGTTTTCAGAGGCTTGTAAACCATCCAGTAAATGTCTTCATTAGCCGATAATAAGCCCAAAGGCCTGCTCTTCAAACTAAAATTACTTTGATTATTTCCATGGTGTCACTGAGTAACCCTGAAGGGCTGAATCCTGGAGAAAATCATACTGACAATTATCTTGACTGACGTCACGTTTACGTTTTTAGTCCTTTGGAGGACTGCATTAAATTTGTTTTAAGAATGAATGAATTTATTCTATTAACCACAGTTTAATAGATTTTAAAATATTAACCACAGGTTCCTTAGTGTTCTGTTTTGTTATGCACTTATAAACCACGAGTCACTACGGGTGACCTTTTGATAAATGTAACAGTAATAACTTCATGGATTTTGAGGCTTTCAGTGGTTTCAGTGGAAATTAAAAGCCATTTGCAGGCTGCTGGTAGTCATAATGTTGAATTGGTTGCAAAGAGGTATACAGTGCTGCACCAAAAACCTCCTTGCAAATGCTTTGATCACCTGTAGTTTGCGTGGGAAATGCTTACTCGTCAGCTTTTATTTTGAAGGCTAATGCTTATCATTTTGGGCTTGCGCTGCTGTTTTTCAAGTTTCACTACCGCTCCGTGAGTAGTTAACAAATGTTTTTGGACAAGTTTGCAAACTAAGGGTGACCGTGGCAACGTGCTATTGACCAAAGCAACCAAAAGGAAGTTTTTGGTGCAACACTATATACCTCTTTGCAACCAATTTCACAATGAGGCTGCCAGCAACACTCTCTAACTGGTTGAGGAATAATCATTTTTTGGCCCTAATAACTAGAGGTCACCAAGGGGTCACTGATCAGTCTATAGGCTGTGTGACTTGGGTTAACTCTTTGGAAGTAGAAAATCTGTGATTTGGTCTAATCAGTCAAAATTTTATTTATTTATTTTTGGGGGGAAATCGTGAGCTCTGCCTCCAGGTCCAAGGGAAGAAGGACCATCCAGCTTATTATTGATCAGCGCACAGCTCAAAAGCCGGCATCCATTGTGGCTGGAGGTTTTCGTGCATATTGCATGGGTAACTTGAACACTTGAACTGCTGCAGAGAGCATCATTTTTCAGGGAGGACCTTGCCTATATTAGCAAAATAATGTGATTGCCAAACTGGCTCGCTTTAATTCAGACCATAGAAAACATTAGTTGAATTATAAAGAACCAAAAATAGAACAAAGCCTATATGTAGCACAATTTTGCCTTCAACATAACAGCGTGAAATTTGTAACCTTTAAGATAGTACTAACACGTTTAATATGTCATTGATTAAATATGAAGTTTAAATGATTTACAAATGAGCTCTTTCTGCTTTGGAACTGGGGGATGGACATATTTTTTGCTTTAGTGCTTGCTTATATTCACAAATTTTGATTGCAATGACTAAAATAAATCCCTTTCTCATTTTGACCTGCTGAAGTGAGTGTAAACAAAACACAAAACATCCAGCCTATCTTAGACCTGATCTGTTAGCTGTTACTTAACACTAAGGATGACAAAAAATCCAAATCTCATCATCAAATTCAATCTCTGGGAACATTTTCTGAGCTTGAATGCCTTTTCATATTTTTAATGCTTTGCCTGAAGAGATTGAGACAATGGCAGCCGATGAATTTAACCCATCGGTGGTGGTGTTGTGTGTCGCTTGGTGCCCCCTGGCCTCATAATCAGACAGCATTGTTTCCTCAGTTGTTTTCAGGTTAACTACAGTTGAACAAGTGGGGTTAGTCATTATTTTTTTCACACAAGTGAATGATAACTTACTGATTTCTGATTGCATGATTCCCACCATTAGATATCCATTGTTTTCCTTTCCTCTGTTTGTGTCATACATAAAGAACCTTCCAGTAACGTCTTTGTCTCTTTACTTTTCACAGGAGAGGAGTGTCGTCATCCTCACCACAGCAGCTGGGGGGGAAGTTTGTCACTTTAGTCCCCGTTGAACAAATGACGAACTGAGAACCATCTCAACCTCAAGCGTCTCCGCAGCACCCGCTCGTTGAAGGAGTCGACCACGTTGCCTCGCCACACTGGACAGAGAAATGTGTCTGTGCGTGTCCTCGAGTGCATGACCGCATCTCAGTGTTTTGTGGCTGCACTTCCTCTCTCACCTTCCGAGAGGCACTTCTGCACTTGACTGACTGCAACATTTGTCTTCATCACAACAAAGCATCATGGGTAGGAAAAAGATTCAGATCCAAAGGATCACCGATGAAAGGAACAAGCAGGTGAGGCTTAATTATTTATTTGGTTGCTCGTTTAATCTGCTGAAATGAGTCATTGAAGAGACTGCAGATTGAACCTCGGTGCATTTGTCTGTATGTAACACTGTGATACATATCCGATTTTTAAAGCACGCAGCTCCAGCTTGAGCATTAACCTCCAGAGTTAAGGCGTTATTTCAAAATAAGGTTCTCGTTTTTGTTACTTTTGGCTCTGACTCTGCATGTGCTGAGATTTGCGCCTGATCTACAAATTCAAATGTCATATTAAAAGCTTACTTTTCTGCTAAATCCACTAAGAAGGAGGAGACTTTTTTCCATATAAATGGAGCAGAGCTGTCAGCCAGTTAATTAAGAGCTTTAATCACCCGTGTGGTCAGGAGTTATGTGCAATTTTCTTAGTTCTCATGGTTCTAATTGTGACTGCTTTTCTTACTTGCGTCCTTTGTTTTTTCTCAGCAACACATTGTGTTTGCTTCGTACGCTTCAGTGCACTTTATCAGTGACATTTGGCGCTTGTTGCCTGTCCCTGCTTTGGTTAGTATGATGATATGTAAAACATGTAAAAAGGGAGATCTGTATGAAAAGAGGAAGGGGAAAAAATGAGCAATTTCTGAAAAATTTGTTTATTAAAAGTCTCTTCAAAAGCTGTTCTGGAGCTTTTGATCACATGACGTGACTTTTATCAGCTGAGGCAGTTTTTCTTGTAATCATAAAGTGACATCTCAGCCAAATTTGCTTAAAAGTTCAGATAAAAAAAAACCAAACACAGTTTAATCAATGAGTTAATAAAACATAGTGTAACCAGTGATAAGCTCACTTACAAGTAAAGATTACTACATTTTTTTTATTATAGGTAAAGCAAACGCACCGGGTCACCCCATTTTTGTTTCCTTTGAAAAATCACTTGTGAAGTGTTCTAAAATACAGCCAATATTAATTTTAATGGTTGACTCAAAAGACGAGAGCCCAGTGAGGCTTTATTTAGAAATCCATCTGTTTTAGGTATTATACAATACTGTTTTATAATAGTGTTTTATTCTGTGAGCTGTTTAATCCAAAAATGGTGTTCTCCGAACAGTACTTTGTGAGGACTGATCTGATCTTAAACAAAAAGACTCCATGTTTTATTGCCAAAAGTGGTGAACGTTGTGTGGTCATAGAAAGGTTCAGCATGCGAAATAAAAAGAAACCAAAAACTTGCATATTATAACATGATTAGAGCTGTATACTGCTAGTAGGCGCTGGGACAGTTTTACAGGGTCAACATAGCTGTCTAGATGTCACAGATTTCAAATGGCAGTAAGGTCATGATTTTGGGCTGGCCCCACACAGCTTTGTGATGTTGTTTGGCGTCCACATTCAAGTCCTGCAATGAAAGGTCTCAAGTACTAAATCAGGCTGTACCCCAAAATCTGCCTTTTCAGCTCCATTTGCTTCCTTTCTCTTCTCACTGCATGAGGCTGCCACTCCACTTCACAGTAATGATGGTGCTGGATGAGTGATGAGGTGATTCCTGCCAAACACAATGCTTTGTATGACAACTGAAAACTTCAGTTTTGTTTTCATCACACCACAGAATATTTTGCCTCATGCTCTCAGGCCTCCACGTGCTTTTTTTTTTTTTTCCCTTTGGCAATCTTCAAGCTCATTTTTTCCACAACTGATGCCTCCGAGACATTTTGCTCAAAGACCAAATTTGAAAATCGCTGCATTGATTTGTCTTTTCAGAAGATCGTTTCTGCCAGGTCGGACAGTAGCTGTAATTTGAATTCTGTACTTTTAATTTCTTCTCTCTTTAATCTACAAAAATGTTTGACGTTCTCATGCCCTCCAGCCCAGACTTTGTGGACATAACAGACCCTGAAACCTTTTCAGATAATGTGTGAAAATGGAGAGGCCAATTTCAGAGGCTGGAATTGGCCAAGGCCAGGGCTAGCCATAGAGTGTAAAAACGATGGACTGATCTGAAATGTGAAGGCAAAACCCAAGTGCCTTAAACCTGGATTCTTTTTAATGGCCAGCAGGGGGGGTGACTCCTGGTTGGAAAAAGATGGGAAAATAGGTTTAGTTTCCCGTTGCTCTGAGATGACTTTATGGCCTAAGACGCTGTTTTCAGGTCATGTTAAAAAGAACAGAGCTGTTTTTGTTAATTCTGGTTAATATCAGAGTTATCCAGAATGTCAGTCTGATCCACCCCTTGCTTGTCACTTCCTGCTGTCTGTTGGTGTTGCAGCTGCCGGCTACTGTTGCCTGCGTCGGCAAACCTGTCAGGCAAAATGGCCACGCCTTTAACTTTAGGTCATAACAAAATCTAAAAGGATGGGAGGGGGGGGGTCCAAAAAGAAAGAAAATCTGTTAATATAATGTAATAAATTACAAACAAGCTTTACAGTTTTAAAACGGGCGTCTGTAGGGATTGTCCTGCTTTTGGAGCCTTTCTAAAGGTGCCACTAGAGGAACTGTAGTTATTAGTACTTAACTTCAGCTCTGTAGGTTACCTCCTGGTTAGGTAAAGCTACTTTCACCTGCTCCCTTGTCACATTTAAACACCACATCTCTTCACATCTCTTATTTAGCAGAGTTTGATCCAGATGCCCTTCCTGATGCAAAAGGGGATTTTTGTCTCTGGCTGGAGTTGAATTAGTGACCTTTCTAAATACAGATATTAAATATAAAACAGGTCACCATGAAGCACAGAAATGACCGAGCATTCAGTTGCACAATCTATGCATCTCAACACTGACCGACTGATTCACAGTCAGTTGGGAAACAAATAAAAAAATAACACAATATAGGAAAAAGTTTATGACCTGCAGTATTTATGCCAAAGTGTGCATCTCTAGTTCAACTTAGACCACATCTAATTATAGATGTTAGGCTAAAAATATCAACAAATATCAAACTGTTTGTGTGTGTATATATATATATATATATTATATATATATATATATATATTTTATATTATATTACTAGTATATACAACACACACACATCAGGGAAAAATGATTATTGACTGTTTATTGTTAGCAACCAGAGTGTCTGAAGGCTATTTATTGTGATGATAATAAAGGGCCACAAAAACAAGGATGCTTCAGTATCGATGCTGAAAACTGACTCACTGTGCTTCATTGATGGCTCTTTATTTATGATGTTATTGCTATTGTTGTCACTTGTACACTGTTATTTGTGTGTGCTTTTACCTAATGTGTCTATCTGCTGTGTGAAATATGTGTTTGTGTTACAGGCAGTTGAAATAGTCATAGACTTACTTTGTCTTTGTAAAGATTTAATTTTATTTTGCAGGCCTAGACCTGTTTGCGTGTGGTGCACAGAAGACCTGTGTAAAGGTCTTTTGTAGGAGTTACAGCGTTAATAGTGCTTTAACCCTGAGAAACCGCTGGGATTTTTTTACCCTGCCCTCTGCTGTTTTTACAAATCCTTTCTTCTGTTTTCTTTCAGGTGACATTCACAAAGCGAAAGTTTGGTTTGATGAAGAAAGCCTACGAGCTGAGTGTATTGTGTGACTGCGAGATTGCCCTGATCATCTTCAACCATGCGAACAAGCTGTTCCAGTATGCCAGTACTGACATGGACAAGGTCCTGCTCAAATACACAGAGTACAATGAGCCGCATGAGAGCCGGACCAATGCCGATATCATTGAGGTTAGTCGATGCATCCTCACCATTTGTGCAGAAGTGAGTAAGCTAAGGCCTTGATTAGATTTTAAATAATATGGAAACTGTCAGGGCTGAACTGTTGCACCAACTCTTAAAACATAAAGAGCTGTATAATACTGGCAATATCCCATTTAATCTGTTAAATATGTAGCCATATGCTGCACAAGTGATTTGGTTTTTTTTGGTCTTTTAGCTGTATTGTCATCATTTCACCAGATTTTGATTTATTTGCTGTTTGCTTTTGTGTTTTTGATGTGACAAAACCAACAAGATTAAAAGCTTGGGCTTCTTGAAAAAGGCTTTGTGACTGTTGTTTTAATGCAGTCTCTGAAGAAAGAATTTGAAGTATTATCTTATCTTTGTGTGATCAGAGGCAATGTAACCGGCGCACCTCAGTGTCATTGTCTCACGTCACTGCCTTCATTCAGGGGTGTTATAGAGAAAGTAGTTATAATTAATGGGAACTGTATTTCTGACTTCACAACCGTGATCAAATAATTTTCAGTGGCAGCTGATTCTCTTCCACCTACATTTTCTGAAACACTTTAAATGATAAACTCATGATTCATACTATGATTGCAGTATCATGTCTTCTCACTTCTAAAGCCCAGTTTTTACATTTACAGACTTTGAGAAAGAAAGGCTTCAACGGCTGTGACAGCCCAGAGCCAGACGGCGAAGACTCGATCGACCAAAGTCCCCTTAATGATGACAAATACCGGAAAACCACAGAGGACCTGGATGTTCTCTTCAAACGCTACGGAGTAAGTTTTGTAAACTTCACACTTAAGTCTTCTCTTAACTCATGCAGCATTTTTTTTTTATATTGCAGTTTGTTCTGCTTATTGGTCAAACACTTGTCTGTTGTTGTTGTTCTGCTTTGTCTTAAGTACTGACAGGAAACTGCTACTGGTAGGAAGTTCCTCTAACGAGTTGTGTTACACTTTACTGTGACCTTTATAAAAAAATGCAGATTGCTTGATTGGTGTTAGAGATGGTGGTATTATTAAGAGCTTTTGTTTGGGGGTTGTTTTTTTTTTGGTCATTGTTTTGAAGGCAGTAAATGAGTTAGTCTAACTCATTTACTGCCTTCATATTATTCACAAGCGAGGACTAAAACTCAACACATCTGTAAAACCATTGCTTTTTGGTTTTTCTGGCCATGCATGCCTTCAGTTCTCTTTATTTTTCTGTTGTATGCCGATGATACTCACCTATATTTTGTGCTTAAAGACTCCAATTAAATAATTGTGCTTTTTACAATAATACCATGTTCATTTATAGTCAATAGATCAGAGTTAAGATCATAACATTTGTACACTGTATCAGCTGCACGCCAGGAAATTTGCACACAAAGGGCATTTTGAAGACAAAAGAAAGCAGATAGCACTTCATGTCTTTTATTTAAATGACAAAAGATTACTTGCATCAACATGGCTGCTATTGTTGTATGATTTTTAATTGACCACAGATGCATCAGTGGAAGCAAAACAGGTAATGAAAAGTTGCAGTAATAACTGTAAATCATTCAGAAACCTTGTGTCATTGCATATTTTCAGGTCCACCAGCTTCATATGAGGGAGTTGATGGTGTTCACTGAGTAGTCTGCTAAAAACTGAGAGAGTGGCATAACACTGCTATCTATAAACTGAGACGTCTGTTTATTACCATCAGTAGTAAACATTGTGAGAGTTCTTAAAATAAACTTTAAGGCTTCACTGGGTGCCACTTGTTCCTTTCTTTCTCTACCTTGGCACCCACCATTCACCTTACTGCATTTACCCCCATTACTCTACTGGATTTGAACAAATTTGTGTCAGACATAAATACAACACCGTGTAAGGTGGAAGTTCACGTGTTGTTTCATAAGCTGTTCAGGCAGGGTTTTGATGTTATAGCCTCATGGATCGTTAACGCTTTCTCCCCATAAAGATGACATTTGATGAGCTCCCCTGTACCCGTAATAATGTGTTTGACAGCTCAGTATTTATCAATGAACATGTGGTTTGATGACATTAGAATAGTTTCCAGTGGTAGCTGTATAGGCAGAGCTCACTCTCACTATAACGTGTGATGCAAACACAGTCATTTCGTTCTATAAGAAGCCCTCAGATATGAAACCACTCAGTTCAGAAAAGAGCTTCAAAGGTTACTCCTAGTCAGCTTTCAAGGGGTAAAGAGTTAAAGAAAACTGATTAATACCCACCATAACTGCATAAATACCTTCCTATTTCCAAATGACCTCTGCTTTCAAAAATTCTTGAAAAAGTGGTTAGTAGGCAGCTCTTAGGGGTAATAAAAGGCAATAATTTCAGTCTGGTCTTAGAAAAAAAGTACAGAAACCACTTTACGTAAAGTTTTTAAGGACATTTTAATGAGCACAGATTCAGGCAACATTACAGTTTGTATTTTACATTTGGTACAGCTAGAGTCACTGTGGACAGTTTTACCTTGTTTACTGCACCCTCATGCCATATGGGGTCCCACAGGGCTCAATCCTTGGACCTATTTTCTTTAGTTTGTGTCTGTCTTACCTCTGTAATGCTGATTATTGACATTCGCTTGTCTTATTTAGTAGAAAAACACAAACATGTAGCTTGTCTGCATTCCTGCCTTGGTGCCATTAAGGACTGGATGACTTCAAATTCCTTAAAACCAAACTGTTATTGGTACCGAACATCTTACTAATAGTGTCATTCCCCGTTTTGGACAACTAATAACTGACCCAAAGCAAACTACTCCTTTTTTTTTTTTAGCTTCTTAGTTTCAACTGTTATTTCAAATCTCTCAGCCCAGTCTTTATATGGGTTAGTATATTACAAAGGTCAGATCAGGACTTCTGAATAATACAGCTGAACACCTTATCCACTCTCTGATTTTCTGCTGATTAGATTATTGCAAGTCATTGTATATATTCTTAAATGATGCAGCACTTTTGCATCTACACTTGGTACAAGACTACTCACAAACACTTTGCGCTCCAAATGCATGACTCCAGTCCTCGCAAAATTACTTTGGCCTCCCATTCAGTGCAAAATTCAAATTAAGATTTTACTGATTACTGTTAATAGAAAGGGGGACTGCATTCAGTTTTAGCCCAACAAACTTCCTCTTAAAGTTAGCTCAGCACGATCAGTTCCTCGTTTTAAAAAAACTTTTAAAAGCCCACACTTGTATATTGGCTTTTATATCGTGGTTTTAATGTCATTTTATCTATTTGTAATTTTCTAATGCTACTTTTTTGTGAAAGTGAAAGAAATAAAGGTTGTTATTCTGATGTTCATCAAACAGAGAGCAATGACAGGTTTATATTTGCATTTTTTTTACTCTTTGATAATTATATTTTGACTTGTTTTTCTTTACTTTTTAACTTACAATAATAACTTAAACAATAACTTAAAATAATATTTTATAACATTGAAGGACCCACACAAGCCAGTGTAGGTCCTTCAATATTAAAACTTCTCCACTTCACAATATGTCATACGGCAACGGTTTTCAGTCGTGCTTCTTCCACAATGGTGAAATAAGGAAATGCCTGTAGACCCATATTCATATATTATGTGCACCTATTTGGAGCATGACAATACGTCTTAATTTTACCGTATTATAATAAAAAATAGGTATTACAGTGCCTAATTTTTCTTTGAAATTAGATTTGATCTTTTACAAATGAGACGACTAAAACTCTGGAGACAGTTTTTTCCATTACATGCTTTTATATTCGTAAACAATCGTGTAGTTTGTTAGTTGAAGCTGTGAAGTACAAACCTGCCGTGTTTTACCACTTTTTTTTTTAATTCCAAAAAAGTAGCGTGAGGCTAAATCTAGGTAATGTTCTGATTGTTATAAAGTAGTGCGGTAATGTCGCGCAGTGGGACTAAAAGTGACGTTTTCTTAATTTCGCAGCAGTCAACAGCTCCGCCTCAGACGTTCTCCATGCCGGTCACCGTCCAGGCGTCCAATCAAAGCACACTGCAGTTCAGCAACCCTGGCAGCGCACTGGTAACTACCTCCTATGTAACATCATCGTCGCTCACGGATACCCACCTCCTGTCGCCACAGCAACCGGCTCTTCAGAGAAATACGGTGTCTCCTGGGTTGCCACAGCGACCAGCCAGTGCAGGTGAGCGAGATGAGGAATGGCCTGTAGACCAGCAAAAGACAGTAAACAGTCTTCAGCGCAGGGATTTTTCTGCTTTTACACGAACATGACTTTTTTAAGTTGCTCATGTTTTTTCAGTGTGTTTGATCTAAAACAAAAGAAGTTGTTTAAAAAAAGAAAGATGACAAAAAATTATCCATGTTTGTACCCCCATAGGATTCATTTTGAATTCTTTGTAAACACAAGTAAACGTTGGCCTTTATTAGTTAATAGCAGAGATAATTACAAAATCAAGCAAGGCGACACTGTCAGGTAATCAGAGACTATAGCAGACACTGGAAGCATGCAGCTCCATATCATTATGCATAATAAGCTGCTTCATTCCTCGGGGAGAAATGCATGCCGCTCTCCTCTGGACTAATTTGCTCTGTGTGACATTCGCTACACTTCACTTACACTTTTTTTTTTTCACGTTTATATTAAATTTTAGTTGATTAGTTGATGCATGCAGGGGAGACCTGGAGTTAATATTTATTTAGATTATACTCAATTTAAAGTCCTTTTTTTGGATATACTCATACAGTTTGTGTAATGAAATGCATGGTGACATAATGCATGTGCAGCACTGGCTGGAGCTGAAACCTGAGGAGGGAATGAACAACTGTGTATAAGTCAATAATTAAGATAAAACAAAGAAACAAATAGAGTGCATATAGTATACAGTGTATCCATGAGCTGGGGTCTTTTTCAAAGTACAAAAAATTAAAATGTCCACTGTGGTAAAATGTTATGTGAGAACAAAAGGCAGTTCTCTCATATTTTGAGGCTTTTGTTGCATTAGAAATCACTGAGAACTCCATGTATTACCTTTTCTTCCACTGCCAAACCTTAAAGTGATGTTCTTGTTCTTAAGTCCCAACATTTCTATTAATTTAAGCTTTTATCAATAGGCGCTCTTCTTGGAGGCGACCTGAATAATTCAAATGGAGGATGTCCAAGTCCAGTCCGTGAGTATTAAAATATCTGAGCGCTATCTTCAACTTATTTGTTGTTTTTCACCACAGATCGTCCTTCTGTTATCCGGTCTGTATTGGGAGTATTCGTTCCTGCTCTCCTCCTCTGCACCGTCTGTGATTGTATCTCACAGGGATCAGGGGAAGCCACCAGTAACAACAGAAATGCATGGGATTCCCAGCACTTCCTGCGGGGAATGCAGTCAGCCTGGCACATGCCTTAGTTCTTTATTTCAAGCCTGCACCAGGAAAACATTTTCATTTACTTACTTTATATTGGATTTCTTGATTAAAAATGTCCAATCTTTTATTTATTAGTACTAGAGCACATTTGCCTCAACATATTCAATAATCTGTAACATTAGAGGGCTTTTACTCCTTGGTTCTGTTTGCACGTCTTTGAAAAACTGTTTAACAAAGAAACCTTTGGGAGGATTATGTAAGCCATCGTTGAGGGGGCACACCGTCTGTACCCCGCCGTCTGCTTTCACCTGTTTGATTTTCCTATTGATTTCTGTCCATTCACACCTCCGTCTCCCCGCAGCTAATGGATACACCAGTGCCAGGGCCTCCCCAGGCCTCCTCACCGTTTCCAACGGCAACAGTCTGGGGAAAGTAGTTCCGGCCAAGTCTCCACCCCCACCTCCGAGCCCCCAGATGGTCAACAGCCGCAAGCCAGACCTCCGAGTCATCACCTCACAGGGCGGAAAGAGCCTCATGCAGATGGTGAGCTTAACTAAGCCGAACTTGTGTTGTCTGGGTCGGTTTCTTTAACGCTTCGATCCTTTAACGAGCAGCATAACGCCTCCTGCCTTCACTAAAGTTACCCGCGATGTTGAAGCAAAGACAAACGATGAATCTGAAGGATTATTTCAGGACCACGGGAGGATTATTTTCATTTCTTATCTCAGGAAAGTTTTGTGAGTGAGATGGAAAACCATACAAAACTCTGGGAATTCATATTGATGTGTTGAATGAAATTCAAGAATTACACAGAAGATAAACAGTCTGTTATAGAGGAATGCTTGCCATCAGTTTTGTGCTTTAGTAAAGACCTGGGGGAAGAGTTTTTGTGCTCAACTCTTCTCATTATTTAGTCTAGGAAAGCGAGTAAAGTCGTGTTGAATCAGCCTACTCCCACCGACACACCGATGAGATTTCTCTCCTCTCTTTTCCTGAACCAAGCGTGCACCCACGTTTCTTGGAGGCATGTTCAGCAGTGTCTGTGCTAACAAAAAACAGTCTTGGTTTCATCGAGGACTTAAAGTTCATTTCAACAGCGAGGTCCATTTATTAGCTGTCCTTGAGCTTTCCCTCCGATCACACAATATTCCTCTGCACAGTGGACCCGCCACATAATTAAGATGTACACGTTTTCATTTTTTTTAACACTTGAACCACCAGGTCAAATCTGAGGAAAAAGGGCGACTTTGGCTCAGAATAAGATGTATTAAAATATATTGGGTATCAAAGAATTACAGTAATGTAATGAATGTGATGGGCAGTATATCATGGTGGTTCTGTATTGGTTACTTTTCCCATGAGTACCCTCGTGGCTCAACTAGGGATTGTATAATTAGAGTAAAGTAACATAAACGTGGTCTTAAGAACTTAAAAATAAGGGGACTGTACTTCTATAAGTTTTTAAAAACATTTCACCTTCTTCAGATCTAAAACCAAAAAAGTGGAGAGTCTCAGACATTTTAAACCCTCGCGTGCTTGTCCCTCAGGTGGTCATTGACCCACTATTGATCATGAGCGTCACCACATGACCCAGGGTATGAAAAAAGGCATGGGTCATTACCACCAGAGATTTCAGGTGAATCCACCATGAGACTGATAGGTTCTCCGTCCAAAGTGTTGAACTGAACTGAAGAAGCCTCTTGGATGAGAGGTACAACATCTACAGTACAATTGCCTTATTTTCAAGCTTTAAGACTACCCTGCCCTGGATGACTGAAAACCTACACAGCCACAAGATAAACATGCACGAACTGCTGGTGTTTTAAGAGCAGAAAGCAGCCTCTGCTACCCAGCAGTATTAAAGATTTTTTGCTGCTGTACTACTTCATATTTCCTGCAGCTTTTCCTGTTTTTTCTTAGCTCGGTACAAAGTGATAAATATGTTGACACTGTAACGGCTGAGGGCGATTGTGTGAACGAAAGCTCCAGATTAGTGAGACCAGTCATTACATTTCTAATGACTGTAGGCAGGCAGAGTGATGGCACCGCCGCACATTTCATAATCAGACTGCAAGTATGTCATTGTTAAGCAAGCCACCAGTGAAGTAGCTGCCAGACTACAGTAAGTAGTTTTATTGTTGTTCCATATATCTTTTTTAATTACCCCAGAGTTGTAACCCTCTCTGTTACCACCCTTTGCAGACAGAGGATGAGCTGGAATTGGTAAACGAGGTGATTTCCCCCACGTCAGTCACTCGCATGAGTCGATGGCACATTAATAGCATGGATGCAGTTCTCTTATAGGAGTTTCACATTGTTCTGGTCTTGCTCCACTCACATTTCTTGGGATGGTCTTTCAGTTTGTGGTTCCCACCTGACTGCATGTGGTTCAGGGCTCATGGATGTGTTGTTCCAGCATTTCTTTAGTCGTGGGCTCATAAACCTGTCAGTGATCTAGAAATACTCAAGTGATTCAGACCTTCACATGAATCAGTTTTGTTTCAGCAGAAGTGTCATACTGTAATGTGCACCTGTAAGTTTTTGAACCATGCAGGTCCATTTACTTCATCATACGATGCCACTTTAAAAGCATGGATGTCTTCTCGAGGCACCACGGAGCATGCTCCCTGCTCACTGACACTCACACCGACTCATTCCACCATCCTCCAAAAACTGTGTGAAGTACAGATGTTTAAGAACTAACTGGCATTACATTAAAGGCATTTCCTCTGTCACGTATGCATATTTAGCTCTGAAACACTAGGATTTAAACATTTTAGGATTGTGCACCTCTGTATTTATGGTGTTACTATAACAAATTGATTAATGGTTAAGATGAAATAAAGCTAATTAGCTATGTTTTTGTGAGGCGATGGCTTCGGCTTTTTAAATAGGACAATTTTGTGTTGAGATTTGTTGAAAACAAGCTATTATTCCACTGTTTTCTGACTATTCTTGGGCATGATTATTATTTGAGACAAAAAAAAATGTTATAGCAACATTTACTTATCCCACTTTTAATAATACTGGGGGGAGGAAAACATTGAATTTTCTTGTTATTCTAAAAAATCTGCCTTTGATTTAAGCTGAGTTTACACAGAGAGAGATGATGGTTGCTGCTGATGGTGGTGGTGGCTGCTGCCGTTCCCCCTCTTTCACAATTCCTCCCAAAGTTGACAGGCAAGATTCTCATTTTCCAGAGAAGAGTGATTAATTTTCATCGCTCTCACCTCGCCGCTCCTCCTCACTTCTTCACAAAGGCAGATAATTGAATCCGGCTCCTCTCTCCGGTCTGTCTCTTCTCTCTCTCTGTGTAAATTCAGCGTTGCAGTCATAACTCTGTCCGAATGTTTCCTCTCCGGATGATGAGCCTCAGCATCGAGAAGAGTAATTCCAGACCTGAATTACTGCGTCTTTGGCCTTTTATTCGCAAACCTTTTATTATTTCCTTCTGTTAAAAACCTCCATCTGCTTTTATCTGTGATATAATTCAGCTCAACCTGACTCTGGAGGGTTGTGTTTCTTCACAGATTTGTGTGTTTCAGCGAGTGTACATAATAATAAAACCTCAGGGCAGCAGTTCCACAGATTTAGCAGTGTGACTGTGGCACCTGTGTTGGAGAAACACTGAATATCTTGTCATGTAAATGGGTGACTGGATGTGCAAACAGTCATCTCCGTGGCTCCTATAAAACTGAGTGATAGAAACATAAACAGGATGCTTTACCACTCTCGCAGCGCACTGCAAACCTTTACTGACATCCACTGGAGAATCATGAGATGAGCTCTGCATTGAGGCAAACAGGATCAGCTTCACGATAGCTGCAGATAACGTCACCCGTTTGTAGTTTATTATAGTGAGACTGGAGAGTTTATTCTGAAATTTACCATTTAAAATTAAAACACACTATATGCACAGTAGATGATATTAAAATTGAAATGGGAGATTTTATTTCCTATTAAATGTTTATGCCATTTTTTTAAATCGAAAGGCCAAAAACACAGTGAGCAACTGTATGTATGAATACGATGGTAAACTGAATGAAGAAATCAAAGAGCCATTTTGGCTGCAAGACCCTGTGATGTACTTTTATCGCTTTTGACCTTTTTAAATCAAACAAAATCTTGATTTATCAAGAAAATATGGCAAATAAGTGCAGATGATACAGACTGGGAGGAGTTTCTGCCATGTGAAAAACTAAGTACACCCTCAATGCTTCCTTAGTTAGCATGTTACCTGTTAAAGTTCATGACATTAGAATAAGAAAAAGACAGAATGAGCATGGCTTGTTTGGGAGGGTTAACATAAGACATCTTCTTCTCTCCAGGAAGAACGTGGCAGCACAGCTTAGGTTTGCAAAGCTGCATCTGAACAAACTGCAAGACTGCAAAACAGAATATCAACACAAACACCCCATACCAGCTGTCAAGCACGGCGGTGGAGGGGTGAGGATTTGGGCTCTTTATGCAGCCACAGGACCTGGGCACCTTGCAGTCATTGAGCCCAGTGAAATCCTCTGTATACCAAAATATTCTGGATGCCTGCAAACTTCAGTGAACTGAAGCAGTCTTGTAATGGAGAGTGGGCCAAAATTCCTCCACGATGATTTGAGAGACTGATAAAGTCATACAGAAAACTATTAGTTAAAGCTATTTCTGCTAGAAGCGACTGAATCATGGGGTGTACTTATGTTATCACAGAGCTGTACTGACTCCTATTTAAACTTTTTCACATCACTGTGGATGTTTATATCCAGATAAGCCATATTAAACTTAAACAGTGATTGTATAATTTTTATTGAACATATTTGTGTAGGTTTTTACATAAAAACAAAGAGCACCAAATAAAACAGTAAAGAAAAAAAAATGAGACGAGATGGATCCAAATTTTGCTAAAATATTTTAAATCTGTTGATGTTTTTTAAAAATGCATTGATAAAGTATTGAATTTCTACAGAGTCTGTGTCTCGTCAGAGTCGATCTGCTTGGGAGGTTTTACTTTCACATAATCTTTTATCTAGTTAATTGATCTGATTTACATTTTGGTAATTATCATTAATATTCGTGGAAGCTTAATTTGAATAAAATGTGGCAACTGAGGGTTGAACAATGTGCCTTTAATGTAATTCTATAAATCACCGAGAACAATGAAAGTGTTTTTGATGCATGTCATCAAGAACGTCCCGACAGTAAATCCACACTTAACTCTGAGATTTACTCCATGTGGAACGCCATTATGAATCCAGCCATGTGCACATCGTCATTCCCAGCATGTCAGAGTGTACATTAAACAAAAAATAAGTCTTGACTCCTTTGGGTCACATGTGGAAGTTTTGATCCTTTCTGTCCTGCTCTCACTAACATGCTGTGGTCCTCTTTGGCAGAACGCCCAGCGGCTGGCAGCTGGAGCTCAAACTCTCACCACGCCAGTGGTCTCTGTAGCCACACCGAGCCTCCTGGCACAGGGGCTGCCCTTCTCCGCCATGCCTACAGCGTACAACACAGGTGAACTCAACACGAGAGCTTTGGCAGCAGCGATATCCTTTTTAGATGAAACAGAGTTTAATAATTAAATAACAAGTTTATGTAATTATTCACCCTGATAGCTTAAAGAAGAAATCTATTTTGAATTCCTGCTGTGACCTTTGCCCCCTCTCAGAGTACCAGCTGACCAGCGCGGACATCACTGCTCTACACGCTCTGGCGTCACCAGGAGGCTTGCTGCCCACCGGCGTGTCCACATGGCAGCAGCAGACGGTTTCCCAGCCAAGTCAGCAGCAGCAGCAACAGCAAACACAGCAGCAGCTTAACTTAGCATCACTCAGCAACTTGGTGTAAGTCTGCTCTTCATCTTCATCTTCAGCAGTTGAACCTGCACTCAGGTCCAGAGACGGTGGCAGCTGAGACGTTCCTGTAATGCCTCTCTAACCCTTTTAATGCTGATGTACTGAATCTACAGACTCTCCCATTTAGCTTGCATGATATCCATACCATGACCTTTATATGCAAGCAATCCACATCCTTTTTTTTAGTGATCTGGTCTCTCACCAGCATCTCACCATCTCAGCCTTCTCATAACATCAGTCTGAACACTGTTCGGCTTTTTCTGGGTTGATTAAAAAAAAAAAACATTACGTGGAATGAAGAAGTGGTTTTATTGCCTCACAGTGGAAACAAAATGACACAACTATCAGATAATTATTATTATCGAAACCCTTTATCACCCACACGGTTCTCAGTCAACTAAAGCTCCCCTGAATAACCTTGTTAGGCATCGTGTTTATGTACGCTCAACTGACTAGTAAACATCAGGTGGCTCGCTTGGCTGAAAAGGCACTACTTTTCCTGTTAAAGTGAATCTTTTACTGGAAGTCATGCTCCTGTCATTGGCTGTTATTGGCTGTAGACCACTGAATAAGTCTCTTTGTTTGCCCCTGTTGCGTACAACTTTCCCTGAGCCATGCTGAGACACAAATAAAGAAAAAATATCACAGCATCAAAAACAAATATGATGAAGCTGCTTCCAGCTACACTGAGAGCTACACAAACTCCTTATAGTGGAAGAAGAATACAGGTCACTGCATCTTTAAACTGTGTGCACAGTGAAATGTAGTACAATGTCTTACGTGAATAATTATAAATGGGATTGTGTGTTTTACTTCCTACAGAGACAGAGTGCAACCTTTCATTCTGCAAAATATCGTTATAAAGGCCAAAAATATAGAATTTCATTATGTCAAAGGAATATTTTAGGCTATTGTCTAGTTAGCTGTGGCGAGTTATTGTTAGCAAACTTCTGTGACATTTTATGCTGTCCAAGATGAAAGCTGATCAGTGTGAAAGAATCAGGATAATATCCTCAATCATGGCTACAAAACTGTGATTGTGCGTTGTACAGGGGTAAAAGTTCAACAGTTTTGTAAGCAAAGATAGCGTGGGACAAACTTAGGATGACCCTGCTGCCACAGCGTTTATCTACTCACATGCTTATCAACCAGACAGCACCAAACAAACTTAAATCGAATATATGGAAGTAAAACTTAACTGCCTCAGAAGCAAAATGACACAACGTCAGATGATTTGCACCAAACTTGGAACAGAAAAAAAAAAGGTTAAAAATGAAATCTATTGAAGTTTGGCAGCAGAAAGTTGTTTGTATGATCTATCATCCAGCTGTTATCAGAGCCAACAGCCATTTGTCTTCATCCCAGTTCAGCATTAACCATATAGAGTCTACATTCATCAGACTTGTTCTACCCAAATGGATTAAATCCAGGATTCATAGCGAGGCTATATTCACCTTATAAAGATGCTAAAACTGTCGAGTGTGTGTAGGCATTTCATTGCAGACATAACGTTACAGCCTTCTGAGTTACCCACAGTTTACAAACTGTCACAATCCTTTAGCTTCATTAAAAAATCATAGCGATGACAAAGTGATGTTTAGATATTTAACCAATCAGCGACAAAGTGGTGTCGGTGTACTGACAGTGGGTTAGAGCTGCGTTAAATCTGAGCTGTGGCAACATTGTAACTCCAAACCTTTCTGATACCCTCCGTAGTAGCTTCCCTAAAAAATATAACTACACGTCACTCTGATGTCACATACGTAGGCTAAATGAAGGCTGACTGTTGATGTTATGCGGTTTTTACAGTCTTAGTCTGGGTCACTGAACTCTTCTTGGTGGAGGCACCTTCACTAAATACAAATTCACAGGTTAGCTGTGTGAGGGTAGGACCTAAATGCACTCTGTCTCTATAGGTTTAATTCAGCTTTGGTTTCCCTCAGCTCAGGAGGGAAACACAAAAAGGATTTCGATCCTCGGTAAACTATTTTGTCAGTCAACCTGAAAATTTATAGGAAGTGAGAAACGGTTTTAAAGAATCGCCACAGTTCCTCGGTCCTGATGTGAATGGTTCCTCATTTTAGGAAACAAACCTGCCCGCATTTGTTTGTCAGCACAACTTTGGCTCGTCCTTCATGAAAACATTCAGTCAGACTTTGCCTCATGTGAAGATGTTAGATCTTCTGCTAGCAACGTAGGAAGAATAATTAAATGTAATTTCGATGCAATTCGGGACTTGCATGCACAGTATGATGCTATTTTCAATATGGAGGAAATGCAGTGATTTAGAGAAACTGTTATCAAGTTAAGCAGATGGTTTCACTGTTTTTCTCCCTTAATAAGCAGCATCTGGACTGGATTATATCAGTGCGGTGTGGGTGTGACTGAAGAGCTGTGTGAGCTGGGTTGGGGTTTGGTAGCGTGAACACCAGAGCCTTGAAGTGTGTTCTCTCCTCTCGTCCACAGCATGTGGGGCGTGGACAAACAGAGCAGCGAGCTGTCTAGCCAGGTGTCCAGTCTGGCTGCCAATCTGAGGTGAAAAGCCACTAATAGTGTGTGCGTGTGTGAAATGTCATGACCTTGTCTGTAGGGGGGGCTGTAGTCCACTTTGCACTTGAATGGGATTCTGTCTAAAACACAAACAACACTCAGTGCGTGCTGCCGTAGACAACGTTTCTTTTATTCTTTTTACTAACAACCGGCCTTAAAAATAAACTTTTTGAGCTTATTATTAATTTTGGGAAGACAGAGCAGGAAGAACTCTTCAATAAGAGCTTTCAAGAATATTTAGACTGTAAAAGAAAGGATTGCTCCGTCTATAATAAAGGCCTTGAAGCTACTCCTCATTTCTTTATGTTTTCTAGGAAATTTGGAAATACATGCAGCAGTTTATTGACACCCGAATGGGAAAAGAGTACATAAGGCAAAAAACTGCATGTTTTGTGTGTTCATCATCAATTTTGACATGATCCTCAACATCAAAGAAGGCCCAAACCACGACAGAGCATCCTCTGTGTTTCACTTAAGAAATCGGAACAAACTCTGTTTTTGTGACAGGCAGCTGGTAACGACGTCTCTAAAAAATACACTTCTAATTGGTTCTTTGCTTAGTTGTCTGTTATGCATAGAAAACATTTAGGGGCTTTCTTATGCTTGAATGATTCACAGGTCAGTGTTAAGTGGTTTAACAAACAAAACAAAACAAAAAATGCTCAGGTACAAGGATTGGACCGGTAATGAGTGAAAAAACAACCAATTTCCAAAGAAACACTTGGAAGGAACTTCAGAAATCCTGGAAAACTACTGTTCAAGATCAAAATACATTAATGTCTTTCTCCTTGGAAGCAAAATATAAAGAAATGAGGGGTGACATAGGTATTTTACCTAATTGTTTTCACAGTGTATTTCCAAATTAGGCCAATAGATATTTACTTAAATTGATCATTTATATATCTTTTTTTTTTTAAAATGTAAACATACGTGGATACGGTGGCCCTTAAGGATCAAACAAAAAGCTGCAAAAACTGAAACAGCAATTGGACAAAAGGCACAAACATTAAAAGTAATAATTTGTACCATGTGATTTACATGCCATCATGTTCGCCACTCTCAAGCTTTGAAGAAAAGAACTTTGTCCATGTCTTTGCATTCGATCTTGTACTCTGTTACTTCTTTAGGGCCACCGTCCACACTCAGGTGTTCCGATTAACACGTGAATTCCTGCATAAACGCTCCACACGTTGTGTATTGTGTATTTGTAGATCAGAAAACAAGATTTTCTTATGGGTTTTGTTGTGCTCTTGCTTCCAAAACATTATGAACATTATTGCTGTTGTTGAAAAGAAAACGTTGCCCGCAATAATGTTTCACACCTCTCTCCACACATGCCTTCTCGTCCACCTGTTCCCTTTGGTTTGGGCTCCAACATTTTGTTTTCTTCCCACAGTGTTGGCTCTCCGTCCAACCTGCTCTTGGGTAGAGATGAGTGGTTGGGCCGGTACTGTATCACACTTCCTTTTTCCTGTGTGTCTGTGCGCTTTTGGCTGCCTCGCTCTCTTAGCATGTCTGGTGCCGTCTGCAGTCAAACAGGAAAAGAGACTTAGTTCCGGCTTCCGCCATGTTCTCTAACCCGAGATTACTTTGTGTTTTCTCATTCTGGAGTTTCTACACCGTCACAGCTGACTCATTGCAAACCACCCTGTCACTTGAATCATTTCACGCTTCTTCGGCTGTTCTGTTGATCTTTTGGGAGCAGTTGGGATCTTAACTCCTGCTTTTAAAAGGCTCAGATTTGATTGTTTTTATGGAATAATGGAGTGTTGCTTTTCCCTGTTGGTGCTGTGCTTCGTAATGTGGGTTATGTCTTCACATGAGTGGTCTTCCAATTTTTCCATATTCTCTTTTGTCAAGTGGCTAATTATTTGTAAATTGTCTCTTGCTTTTCCTCTTTGTTCTGCCCTTTATCTTCCTTCCATTTTTCTTCCTCTGCCTCTGTGACCCCATTCTCAGGCCGGTGACCAACATCCCTCAAGGCGCCATGCTGACCGTCAACACAAACTCCGGCGTGAGCATCAAATCGGAGCCCATCTCGCCCGGCCGGGATCGCAGCACCCCTTGCCCTCCTCCGTCTACCACGCCATCCTCGACCTCAGGAGGTACCATCCTGACTGCTCCGCCTCAATACCCCGGCTCCCTGCTATGCCTGGAGCCCCCGACCGGCCGCTCGCCCGCAGACAGCGTAAGCAGCAACGCCAGCTCCTTCGAAGGCAGCGACCGCGACGACGCTGGAGCGGCCGGAGGTGGCACTGCAGGTGCGGGAGGAGGAGGCGGTGGGGCCGGCGGTGGAGGTGGAGGTGGCAGCTCGGCAGGTCCCACCAGCCGGTCCGTGCCGCCCGACTTCAGCCCGTCGGCCGAGCTCCTCAGGGCGTCGAACGAACAAGACCAGGAAGGAGGAAACATCAAGCGCATGAGATTGGATGCCTGGGTCACATAAAGGCACCAACACCTCCTCTCTGCACCCACAGTGAAGTTTTGGTGACTCCCACAACACGCACCCACACTCATTCTTAGTCCCACCACCACTGCCCCGACCCCACTGTCATGTGACACTATCATCACACACAGTTATATTACTCAGCTACGTCACCCAGAGGCTTTGCCAAAAACCCCATTAAAAACAAGCATAAAAATCCTGATGGACGGCTCCGAGCTCAGCTGGATATTTTAGCCCCTCGGATGGAGGGACAGTAGATTTTTAAAGCCTTCTTGCTTGAATGGACTCCCACATATTGATATTTTTCTTTTTCTTCTTTGGTAGAAATACGTTGTTTAAAGTGAAACCACGAAACAAACATTTCTCTTTCACACGGTTTCCGTATCGCCTCCATGTATTTACATCGACCTCCTTTCATTTTAATACAATGTGACTCGTGGCCTGTCGACATTACGGGACTAATGCCGCACGACTCGCCACTTCCTGCTCTCCAGAATCCAGCGTTTATTTAGGCTGCGTGCTGTCGATTCTCCTGTAAGGCACTTCCAAACTGCACTAAAGGAAATAACTTTATCTGGACAAAGACTGAGCAATTTTTGGCACTGACCAAAACAGACTCAAGCAAAGGTCTTTCTAGGTAACAATATTTCTGCGTCAAAGGATTTATTTTATTTTTATTTTTTTTTTGCCTCTGCTGCCACGACCTCATGCAACCAGGCAGGCCCCGAGCCCCTCAGGTGGCACTCTGCAGCTGTGTGAGTCGAGCACCTCGCCAGAGTGCCAATATCAACTTCTCTTTGAGATTTAAATAAAAGAAGAGAAACAAACAAAATGCCAAATGCCCCTGTTCTCTATAGGGACATGCTATCGCTCGCACTGTCGTGAAACATTGAATTGTATTGGCGGTCACTTTGTTCACAGACTGGGGTGCTCCTCCCGTCCTCTCACCTCATCTCCTCTGGAACTCGGATGGAAATCCAGCCGGTTACTCAGCTTATTAGCAGGAGTAGATGCCATCCAAGTGAAATTCAATAGTAAGAGTTTTTTGAGCCTCTGTTGGCTCTTTTTTTTTTTTTTTTTAATTTGATTTGATTTGATTTTTTTGGAGTAGGGAAGTATTTGGTTCTCTAAGTCCAAGTGTTCTCTATCTGTTGGTATTTTAAAACTCTGTTAGTCGTCCAGAAGTAGGAATTCCGACTTTGTATAAAAATCACTCCTTATACAAAAAAAAGCTTTGATGTCCTCTTTAGCTCTCTATAGCTCTCCTTAGCTCTTTGCCGTGTTTCGAAAAAGTGAAAGGAAAAAGACATTTTTCTATATTTCTACCGCTTCAGTTGGCGACAAAGTAAAAATAGCTTTTCGGCTTCAACGACGTGTATGTACATATGAATATATTTGCATAGACTTTGCTAGGTATCCCTAAAAACAAGCAATGTGTTGATTCTCAGTGGATCTGTTTGCATATATGAGTGTGCATTTGATATGTTTTGAGATACAGGTGCAGGGGTTACGCCACGCTGGGTGGTGCTGGCGGATCGGACGTGTTTCAAGTAAACCTATTTTATTCTAGTGTCGATGGTGTGTGCACTTTCCGTCTCTCACTCACAGAGGCCTGCTTGGTTGTGGTGTCATCATATTCGCTTGCCACAGTTCTTCTTCTTTCTTTCTTTTGAAGAAAAGAACCCACGATCAAAGAAAGAATCCTACACCGTGACATAAACTTATTATCAGGACACTGCCGTTCACTTCTAGCGTAGAGAGGTAAAATACACTTTGACGGACTCGTGTAAAATCTTTTCCACGTCACGGTAAGCTGACAATTTCTTTTTTTTCCCATCGGGAAAACCAAGTTTGACGTTTAAGTGTAGCTTTTCTTGAACAAATCTGTTTTTCGTTGAACCATTTCAAGTGTGTGTATTGGTGTGTGAACCCAGGCTGTTTTTCGCTCTCAATTACTTTACCTTTTTTTTCCCCTGGAGACGATGCTCAAAGTGCAGACCGGCTGTTATTTAAACAATCCTACACCTTTCCGTCAGTGTAGGTGAGCAGCGTTTGACGCCGACTCTGGGTTCATGCTGCGAGTCGGAAAAAGACATTGGGGCCGCGTGGGATTTTCTCCAAAAGACTGACGCGTCTAGCGGCGGCGTTGCTGAGGTATTTCATCGTCATCATCATCATCTTTCCTAGTATGTGTGGAGGGTAGTTTTTCACTCCACTGATTTCAGGTTAGCGCTGCTTTCCCCTCTCAGTCAGCCACGGTTAGCAATTTAACAGCCAACACTTTCAAAGAGCGCTTATTGGAGAAGTTTTTTTTAAAGGAATACTTATACAGTGAGTGGGAACGAGGAGATCTGTGCTTTTACTTATGTGGTCAGTATGTACACAAAACACCAGCCAACACGCCTGATGCTTACCTCTAATGCTGCATTTACATTATTTACAGCTGCAGATTCAAACGTTAAAATACAAATTTCCCAAAAATCACTAAAGAAAGTGAATAATGTGTGATTCCCTCCAGAGTTTGTCAGAGTTGGGAAGTGATGCAAGCATGAAAGCTGTCAGTTATCTTTAGTGTCTCTTAACCTTATAATGCCCTTAATACAGGAGTTTCTGAGACCTCTATCTCATTAACATGATCAATACTTGCCATAATTTTAAAAACTTATGGACAAAACTCTTTTTTTTGGTCTAAAATTAACATTGTTGTTAACAAAAAATTGCCAAAAACACCCAGTGCGTCAAATGCGATACAAAGAAATATATAGCAAGTATATAATCAAAATATATCATACACAACATGATATAGCAAAAACATTTTTTGTGGATTTTGCTATAAGGGTTAATGAACATCTCAGTTTGAAAAAAATCAGAATTTTCTGGCTGTTTTTTGATGGGTTGGGTCTTACAGGGTTAAAAAAGGGTGCCCATTTTTCTCCTTATACACAATATGAGTCTAGATTCGATTGTTTGGGGACAATTAGAGATGTCACCAATCAAAGCATTTTACGTGTATTATTTAAGCATCGGTCTAAAGTGCAGTAAATCCCTGCATCAGGACCCGGAGGAGATCAGGAATGATACAGATCCATCCGCCGTGGCGACACCTTACAATGAAAGGTTTGGTTTCCAGATGAACTTTGAGGCTCTCCAAAGGCATGATAGTTATTCATTTAGAATCCTAATATGTATGCAATATCACATTTCCATGCTGAAACGACTAAATGTGACCAGCTGTGGCAAATTCCGATGTCAGAGAGAAAAATTCCAAGTGAGAATCTTGAACCGTTTGCAGGCCTGTGTCACCATTTGGATAATTTTTACACTTAAAATCAATTCAATTAAATTTGTCGTTTTTATCCCCCGCTTGTATAAAATGTACATACATAAATTTGGATGTCTCCACCTGACACGTTTTGGTGTTAACGACCATAAAGTCAGCTCGAGCTCAGTTATGCGTCGTCTGCATCCATTTTCACAATACTATAAAAGTATCGAGCTCAGGCATTTACATTACACAACTACAAGCCGCGGCACATCTCAGAGTTGAGATGTAAGATCTCAAAATTAATGCAGCACTTTTTTAAAAAAATTTTTTTAGTTAAAATGACAGAGTGAGCTTTAGAGGTGCTGGCAGGCAGAGTGTGACCGCTGGACCGTCGTATCGAGCCTCTTCTCCGGCCCATCAAGAAATTTCAAGATGTCAAACTATTCCTTTTGAACACTCGGGATGCGTGTCCGCCTTCCTGCAGACAGAGCTAACGATCTCCTCTCGTACCACCCGCTCATTTCCACTTTTAGAAAAACTCACCTTCAGTGGCATCTCTTCGTTTCTGTGGGCGCTGATGTTTGACTGAAATGTGACACCACACCGATTGGCTTTGTTCATGTACAAAAGGGAAAAAAAAGGTTCTCTGTCCAATCTAGCAGTGTAGTCACAAGACAATCTATATGAGAAATGAAAACCTGCACCCCTGTTACTTGTTGTGTACAATGTTTTTTAGAATCTCACTATTTTTGGATTAATTTGTGCTGGTGACAGTTCCATTGTCTATTATTATTATTATTATTATTATTATAATGATATTATTATGGAGCTTTTATTTTATTGCTATTTTTTGTGTAGGATAGCCAACTGTTTTTAATTTCCTCTTTCTTATTTTTCTCTTCCGTATCATAAACATATAGTACTGGTTTCCTTTTTTGAGGCAACTTTGCTGACAATTGCACGATCAGTTATTGTGGTATTAGCAAATGCAATGAAGGAAATACCAGTTAAATGCTGCAGTTTTAATTAAGATACAGAATATATTTATAAAAACGGGAAACAACTGAAATTAGTAAAATCCTGAAATTTGAAACATGTAAATGCATGGGATACAGGTAACAACGACATATGTTACGTACAGTAATGATAAGGACATGCATCAGAGATGAGTTTTAAAGCAACTCAGAATAATGTAGCATATGAAATACTAAAGATGAAATTTATAGCTAATATATTGTGTTGAGCTGGTCTGCTTTGGGTTTTGTTGTAAAGAAAATATTTCTTTTTTTGTTGTTTTTTTTTGAGAATGATATACAGTTTGTGTATATTTTCATATACAAAGTATGCACTGATATGTTATTGAAATTCTATACCGCTTTTACAAAAAAGTGTTTGTTGTACCAAAGTATCCAAGTCCCTTGAAACCTTATCCTTTTTGCGTATGTTTTACCGTATTTTATATATTAAATAGACAAACTGAGTGAAATGAATTTGGATCTGTGATTCATTTTTTTGTTGTTCCTGCGTCGAGGTGGGGGCAAAAGTGCTTTTATAATGACTCATCCGGAACATGTGGCGGCACAGCAAGAGGTGCGAAATACCCAGAAATCTTTGTGAATTCAGTCCATTAGTGCATTCACGTGTCTCTTTCCTTTTTTCCTTCACCTCTTCATCCTCTGCTTATTGTCACAGTTACAAACACGTGAGACGGAGGTTCGATTCGCACATTCGACAATAACCAGACAGCCAAATTTAGCTCATCTCTCACAACCTCTAAGGAGGTGAGCAGCAACTGTGCATCAACAACATCTGAGATTTAAGAATGAATAATTGTAGTTTTTCTAAAAAGCCAATATTATCTTTTAAGGCGCTGTTATTGTATATGGACTTCACTCATTGTGATTTAAAGGGTTTGCATTGATGTTTCACAGGGGGGAAACTGGTAAAAGCAGAGAAATAAAAGCTGTTTTTAATGCAAACAAGTGTGGCATTAGATAAAAATTGAATTACTGTTGCAGGACTTTAGATCCAGACTATAATTTACACTCGACTTCTTGGTCATCAGTTTAAACAAAACGTAGCCACACCTGCGAACAAACAAACAAACATGTTTTTCACTGCAGGCTGTTGCTGCTGGATCAATCCTCAAAGTAACCACCTGACCAGACTACAGCCTTAGTAACATTTGTCGGTTCTAATAATTTACAAAAGAAAATAAATAAAATGCAGAGAGAGAAAACAAGTCGGCAAATGAAGGTGGCTCTAAACTCCCTTCAAGAGTAGTTTCCGATCAGATTGTGAGTTTACTGGGATTCCTGGACAGATCACAACAAGCCCAACATGGAAAAGTTTGATATGGAATAATGGGTGTGTACACGCACACGCATGACATGACAAAGGCTGGGGAAACTAAAGCAAACATACCAACCAAGACACATGTCTAAAGAGGCAAAGGTGTGTGTGTGTGGGAGAACATTCAGGCAGCTCATGTCCACCCTTCAATGCTGACAAGCCTTGTATTGTGATTAAGGAAAAGTACATTGTGCAATTTTATTGCAACTCACAAATTTTAGCTCGAAAATGAATCAATAAATGACTGCTTAAATAAAGTTACACAGATGTAAAGCAGCTTTGTGTTGGCACCACAGTTCTGGGATGTTTGAGGGACTCAGTTAGACAAGGACTGAATCTATTGATTTGAACACATCGTTACACTGATAATGTTAATGATTGATATTGGATGGGCAAGTGGAGGGTTCACGATCCCTCTGATAGCAGACGCAGTAATGGACTTCAACCCTGTGGCAGTGACTCAGAGTTCATTCGCGTCCGTCGTTTGCTGGTTTCGATACGCCGCTCCTCGAGCTTCGTCGGGTCACCGCGCTCGTGGCTCTGCAGTCTGCTTTTCAGGACTGGGGGCATTTTTCAGCTTTACATTCTGATGTTGCCAAAACTCAGAACATTGACTCACCCTTTCCCGGACAGAATTGATGAAATGAGGCATTTTAATCTGAATCATCAGCTGCACTGTTATCATGTTTCATAATGAAGATTTATTGAACTCATTCAGGGGCCCAAATATTGACATTTTCTTTACATATTTACCACTCACAGCAGGAGGGGGGGTAAACACAAAACATCCTTTGGACACAAAAAAAAAAAGACAATCCAAAAATAGCATTTCACTTTGTGCTGCTATCAACAAAGAAAAGCCTTTGATCAAAACAACAAAGGTGCATTTAACAGGCACAGTTATAAATATTAAGTTTAAAAAGCCACACAGCCTGCAGCAGCAGTGTGAAAATAAACAAATAAGTGAAAGACAATGATTTGAAAATCTTTTAATTCTCTTATGTCGAGAGTTCAGATATTTTGTTTTAGTTTGTGTATTTTAAAGTTTAAATCAGTAAATATGACCTAAAGTGAAAAAATAACAAGTAGATATACAAACATACAAAAAAGTACTACATCAGCACAAAACATGAGACCACAGAGTTGTAGCTCACTGAGAACGGATCGTCTCATGAGGGTGTCCAAAATGTTAAATCTATATAAACCAGATCGTCTACGTCAGTCTGCTCAAAGCGAAGTTCAAAAACAAGAAAAAAAAAAGACAACTGTACAGAGTCATGTTTTATGATTGGACGGTTGATTAAATGTTTCTGATTTTGATGATTTTGACGCTCCGGTTTTTAAAGTCACTTTCTTCACCCACAACATAACGAGCTCGTACGTTTGAATTCTTTGTAAACAGAAAAAGGTCCGAGGAAACATTTCGCACTAAGTCGTGATCCTTTAGCTTTTCATGAAGTCACTGATTAATAGCCCCGTATGATGAACTGCATCAGGGCTAAATTATACAAAAATATATATATTTTTACACAACACTGCTGATCAATGATCATAAAGCATATTTAATTCATCAGCAGATGACTTCTTTATTAAAACTTGGACCCACCAGGACAGAACGAGCTGTCTGTGAGTAAAAACTGTATCGTTATACTCCAAGTATTATATTACAGGTTTCATTGTCTCTTTCTGCTCCACGCCCTTTTAACCCCACCAGCGCTGCCTGGGTGGAGGAGCCGAGGTGGGCGGCGCCACGTCAAAGACGCCGTCTTGTCCCATCGACGAGCACACGAAGTAGAGGTTGGTGCCCAGCATGACCAGTATGGGGAAGAAGGAGAAGCCGAAGCCGAAGCCTCTGGCGCTGCTGCCCAGGGAGAGACAGAGCCAGTAGATCAGCCTGCAACGAGAGGGGGATGAGACTCATTTCTGTTTGAAGCACAGTCACCAGCAGCTGGACACAATACTGAGAGAAGATCTGATCACTGCCCGCATCAGCCCACACACCCACTCTCTCCTTTCAGCAGGAACATTAGACAGCGCAGCTCCTTTATGCTTTTCATCTGTTTTTGTATCGAGTGCTTGATGACTCAAAGCTGCACTAATGGCTTAATAGAGGCTTTTTTTTTTCTTTTTCTTTTTAAAGTGTCCTAATTTTCTGTCATCGTGTTTTCGAGACTGTCTGAGATCTTTTTCAGGGCACAATGTGATGGAGTACCGGAGATTTGAGGCCCTATTTTTCAGGATGTAGCTCAAAGTGCTGTGGTATAGGAAGAATTAATTATCGTCTCAGAGCTCTCAGCCCGAGTTGGAAATTAAATGTATTCATTGTTACAGCAGTTTTTAGAATCAGCTGCGGTGGAGGCAGCAGACTGCTTATGAAAAGCAGAACGTAGCCTCGAAGCTTGTCCACGTGTGTAGGTGACATCGTCAGCTCAACGAAGACTCGCTGCAGAAGTCTAAATCAGCTGTTACCTATTAAATCTGGTTTATAAAATGCTAAAATGGCAACTACAAAGACATTGCACTCTGCCTTTTTTTTTTAAAGTATATAATAAACTTAAATTTGCTGAATACAATCTAGAAATCTTTTGGCTACTTTGCTGACCTAGCTTCTTGGGACAAGTTTCCAGTATCATCAGTGGATACCAGGGCAAAGACTTCCTGATCTTTTCACCACCTGCTTATAACTGTGCATGGTTATAAAAGAAATGTAAAGGTGTTCCCTGGCTTTTATTCCAAACCGTCCATTTATGAATGCTCAGATGTAACAGGTTAACAGAACATTGGCTACAAATGGGAACCAGAGAGCTTCTGATGCCAAATACAGTGACTTGCAAAAGTATAACCTACCAAGACAAGGCCGTCCACCTAAACTCACAGGCCGAACAAGAAGAGCACTGATCAGAAATGCAGCCAAGAGGCCCATGGTGACTCTGGACGAGCTGCAGAGATCCACAGCTCAGGTGGGGGAATCTGTCCATAGGACAACTATTAGTCGTGCACTGCACAAAGTTGGCCTTTATGGAAGAGTGGCAAGAAGAAAGCCATTGTTAACAGAAAACCATAAGAAGTCCCGTTTGCAGTTTGCCACAAGCCATGTGGGAGACACAGCAAACATGTGGAAGAAGGTGCTCTGGTCAGATGAGACCAAAATGGAACTTTGTGGCCAAAATGCAAAACGCTATGTGTGGCAGAAAACTAACACTGCACATCACTCTGAACACACCATCCCCACTGTCACATATGGTGGTGGCAGCATCATGCTCTGGGGGTGCTTCTCTTCAGCAGGGACAGGGAAGTTGATGGGAAGATGGATGGAGCCAAATACAGGGCAATCTTGGAAGAAAACCTCTTGGAGTCTGCAAAAGACTTGAGACTGGGGCGGAGGTTCACCTTCCAGCAGGACAACAACCCTAAACATAAAGCCAGGGCAACAATGGAATGGTTTAACACAAAACATATCCATGTGTTAGAATGGCCGAGTCAAAGTCCAGATCTAAATCCAATCGAGAATCTGTGGCAAGATCTGAAAACTGCTGTTCACAAACGCTGTCCATCTAATCTGACTGGAGCTGTTTTGCAAAGAAGAATGGGCAAGGATTCCAGTCTGTAGATGTGCAAAGCTGGTAGAGACAAACCCTAAAAGACTGGCAGCTGTAATTGCACCAAAGGTGGTTCTACAAAGTATTGACTCAGGGGGCTGAATAATTACGCACACCCCACTTTTCAGTTATTTATTTGTAAAAAAATGCTTGGAATCATGTATGATTTTCGTTCCACTTCTCACGTGTACACCACTTTGTATTTGTCTTTCACGTAGAATTACAATAAAATTGATTCATGGTTGTGGCTGTAATGTGACAATGTGGCTTATCAGTAGTTTTCAGAGTCCCACAGCACACTCTTTGAACTAGGGATCGATACGATTGGCTCACTGTTTTTTGTAAGCAGTGATGTCCCCACTGCAGATGTTTTTCTTTTGCATGCAAGCATTAAACTGTGGATAAAGTAACTGCAGCAGTACGGGTGATCAGACAGGTTTAGGGCAAATCCCCAGTTGAACCAGATGATGAAAGCAGTTAGATGCATGACGAGTCCAACAGAGAAACAGCAGGAAGTAACAGGTTATATAACAAGTTATTCACCCTCTCTGTGGTTTAGATAATATATCTTGTTTTAATCGTGCTCGAGCATGCAAATAGTTTCACTGTATTCAATTTAGTAAAACTGATCGAGGGGGTCATGTTTGTTTGTTCAGCCACTGACTGAACAAAGAGTGAAACTTTATTTAAAAGGCTGTTAAAAAGGTTTCCCAGGTTTCACAGAGACAACTGTGACAGTCGAAGAGGTTTAAAACTTTATCACAGACAAAACTTTCATGGATTCAGATCATTGTATAGGGACAATCATAGCTAATGGAGGATAAATCGTACTGACGTACAACAGCTCCTGGATTTTAGTAGTAACTGCAACAGTGTTGTCATCAACCCTCCCCCTTAGCATGAACTGTAATAGGTTTGGTCATTATGACGTGCGGACATCTGGACAAACTTTTAGTTTTGTTTGTTTTTTTTAAACGATCCTTCAAAAACTGCTGATGATCCCCTTACTTGGCACCAATTATCAAAAGTTAATGCAATGCATGGTTAAACTTCAATCATACGAGCCTATTATGATCGACACACTGGTTGTGTCAAGCACAATGATGTGACCACCTATACTGGTACTGAGGACATGCAAAACTTGCACTAATTTCCTTAATTTCCTTTTGTGACTCAGACAAAACCTGCCCATCAACACATGTAGAAGACCAGAACTATAAGGTTATGTATATAACCCCGGTTCTCTGAGTACCATGAGTGAGCCTTTCACCAGACAGCCTCCTTGCTATAGAAGCAGGGAAGAGGTGTGACACCATGTCAGCTTATTATACCAGAGGTCCTAGTCCCTCCTGATATTAGTGTTGCTGAGGACATTCGAGCTTCTGATGAGGTCACACAGGAGTGACCATGTTGCACGCAAACAGTGACATCACCACGAACGTATAATTTATCTCAACTATACCTCTGCTGCAGCACTGGTACAGCGATGTAAGTATAGACCAGAAACAGAACATAATATTTTCATCACTGAACTACCAGTTGCTGACAACACGTACACAAACACATACCTGCCAAAAACAAACACGATGGTGAGCAGCGGCACCAGTTTGATGAGGTCCTGGCTGATGTAGGTTGCCATGACAGCAAGCTGCAGGAAGTAGAAGAGGAAGAGGCCGAGCGATTCATTGACGTAGTGCCAGTGCACGGCCACTTGTATGTTCAACAGGTTACTCTGAACGAGGGGCCTGACCGCGCTGTAACGCAGCCGGGCGAGGCCCTGCACCACCACGCCTGCAGAGAGAAAGATCATCGTCACCTCATTTTCTTATTTGCATGACAGATTTGCTTTGGTGCATTACAATTTAAACACAGGAAAACACTAAAGTCTCACCGAGCAGGATGGGCACGCTGGCAAAAAAGGCGCAGCGCAGTGTGTACACCACCCTGAGGGGGGCGCTTTCAAGCTTTGGCGAATCAAAAGGTATTAGGGCGTAACCACCCCACACCAGGAAGGGGAAAAGTATTGCTGCAGCTACCATCGCCAAAACCACCCTCAGTTTCTCCTTGCAGATATGCTCACACAGGTCTGAGGAGGAAGAACACAGTTACGGTTTATGATTAGCCAAAGTAACTCTGCAGGAAGGAGACTGTGCCAAAAAAGATGACACAACATATCCTGAAGCCACAGCATGATTCACCTAAAGACATAATTACGTGTCATTAATTCCAGTTAAGCACCAAAAAAAGGGAGATCTAGGCCGGGTCACCAATGACTTTCTCACTGGGGGAAAATGTGCTCCAGAAAACACGTTAACCTACTTGGAACAGAACCAACATGTGATTAGATCATCAAATTAAAGCGGACCTATTATCCTCAATTACTACTCCATATTTTTATTCTTTGACTTTAATAGAGTAACTTTGCATGATTCACACTTCCTGATTTCTCTCATACTTAGTCTTGATGCAGCTCCTCAGTTCACCCACTGTGTGAAACAAGCTCCTCTTCTGATTGGCAGCCCCTCATGAATAGAGGAGGTGGAGCTTCTGTGCTATCAAGTAGAGCCTCGAGTCTCAGGTAACCATATAAAGACAGATCCAAGAGTACTATATAGCACAATTCAAGATTTTATTGGTGTGAAATTAAAATACCGGTACTGTTCTTTTTGTAAGGTGTGCTAGGTGCGTAAAAGCCACAAATAGGCTGTTTCAGCCAGTTAGTAGGTTGTTAAGGAATGCGATGACATCGTAATACCTGATACCAATGATATCAAGGCGCCTAAGATGTGCCTGTGTGCCAACTTTGGCTGCTCACCTCATGACTGTGATGGAGTTTTAAATACTTTGAAAACAAAAATGAAACAACTTTTCAGAATAAGAGCACTAAGCACTAAGATTTCAGCGGTGCAAAGAGTAGGTCCTTATTAATGCTAATAAAAAAAGTGGACTGGGTGTAGCAGAGTCTGGGTTGGTCGGGATACTCACAGTACTTGTCGTCATTGGCTGTCCACTCCGGGTAAAACTCTACAACGGAGTCGTGCTCCATCTCCGGCTCCACCTCCTTCTCTCCGAGTGGCCTGCTCACCTCGGGAACCTCTTTCGTGGAGTGATTCAAAATCGTGACTTGTGGCGTGAAACCTGGAGATGATTTTTCCGAGACCCATGTTAATCCCCCTTCGTCTTCCTCTTCCTCATCCTCATCATCTGCGAGGGAGCCGTCCTCTTTATCACCCTGCTTCACCTTAATCTCATCGTCCCTCCACCTCTCCCCCTCAGGCATGCTCTCCCTCCATTTGGTCTTGCTCTTCACATCGCTCTCTTCCTGGCTCTGCTCCTCTGACAGGTCCTGGCTCCCTCTGCTGATTCCCGTGTCCCTCTCGTCAAGCTCTGATCCTCCTTTTTCTGACGAGATTCCCTCATCCTGCTCTGTAAGGGCTCTGCTGTTTCTGCCTGCCGACCACGGTAAAGTGCTTGGCTCCAGAAAAGCAGAGCTGGTCGCATCATCATCTTCTTCTTCTTCTTCCTCCTCCTCATCATCTGTAAGCTTTCTTTTGTCCTCCAAGCCGTTGTGTTCTTGTGGCTTTTTACTTACTGGTGTTTGTGGCTCTGCAGTTGAAGCAGCAGGTGAAAATGCCAGCTCCTCACTTGTGTTGTTGATTAGGTCAGCCATTCTTGGTGTTTCTTTACTTCCAGTCAATACCAGCTGCACTGCTGAGAATCTGTTGTTACCAGCTCCTAAAAGTCCTTTGTTCGCATTTCTCTGTGAGAGAGGGAACAAAACATTATAACGATGCTTGAAGCAGCAGCCTGCTTCAACTTGAGCTTCATAAAAACATCAAAGTTCACCGTTTATCATGGGCGTGTTACCAGATATGGCTCACTCTGTCGTCACACATACCAGCACTGTGCATACAACATGTTACTGCAGCTCTGATTTATGTGACAGGATTAATACATGAATCACTACGTGTCTGAGTCGCAAATGCAATAAACGCCTAATCCAGAGGGTGAACGGGAAAATTATTAGGAGATCACGATGTACACTCAAAGGCCACTTTGTTAGGTACGCTTGTTGAATTGATCTTTAATGCAAATATTTAATCAGCTAATCACATGGCAGCAACTTCACCAGCAACTACCGCACTGCTTTGAGCTGATAGGAAGGTAACAGTAACTCAAACAACCACTTGTTACAACCAAGACATGCAGAAGAGGATCTTTGAATACACAGCACAACACTTGAAGCAGATGGGCTACAGCAGCAGAAGACCACACCAGGTTCCACTGCTGGGAATGCCTTGGTGTTCCCAAGGACAAGCGGGAGGAGGTGGCAGGGTAGAGGGAGGTGCTGCCCCCGCCACCCGGCCCCGGATCAATCATGCAGGAGATTGATCTGTTCTGCTGATGTCTACCTTCAGAAATGTTGACGATCACTTTTTGCTCAGTTAACTGAGATACTGGGTGGGCGTATCGTGGCCTGGTTTGAAATGACTCTCATCACTTCTGCCTGAATGGTCCTTTCCCATGACTGCTTCCAAGTCTAGGTCCTATTCTCCTGCCTACGGTGTACCAGAAGGCTGTTTCCATCCCTCTTCAGCACAGCTTGAGCAACATTAAGTACTTTTTTGGATCATTCTATGCAGATGACGTTCATTTGTATGCCTCCTTTAAGCCCCAAGATTTTTCTAAGTTGTATAGTTACTCTTGGATTTAGAAAATATTAAAAGTTTGATGTTTGACAATTTTCTTCTACTTAATGAAGCAAAAACAGAAGCCTTTTTTTGTGCTTTGAAAAGATTTGTGTCTAAGGTTATGGAAATTTTTGATCCTCTGCTACGTTAGCTAAATCTTCTCTCAGGTGTAACTTCTGACTCGGCCTTTACTTTGAATGCTTACGTTAAATCTCTGGTTCACTCTTGGATTCTACTTCAGAAATATTACCAAGTTCAGTTTCATTGTGTCACACTCTGAAGGGAAAATCGTTATTCACACCTTTATTTCATCACATTTGGATTACTGCAATTCATTGTTCACTTGTCTTAAGAAAGCTTCCTTGAAACTTCTATAGGTTATCTTCTAAATCTCCTGAGTGCTCCCACTTCACAATATTGTTAATTCATTCACCTTGACTCCCCATTATCTTCAGAGTCTACTTTAAGGATCTGGCTTTGACTTTTAGAGCTCTGCACAGACAAACTTCAGGTTACATCAGTGAACTTTTACATCCTTGCATTCCCAGCAAGGTCCTGGAGGTCAAGTGATCAGAGCCCGCATCACACAAGGCTGAGAGCTTTTATAACAGTGGCCCCCAGATCTGCAATTACATCCTTCTGAGCCTCTGATCAATGGATTTGATCCCTTTTAACAAGCTAAAAATGCTTCTTTTTAAACTTGTATTTGATTCATTTTATTGTTGCTTGAGATTCTTCTGAAAATGTCCTATACAAATAACATTTTATTTTGAGTCTCAATTTCTACTGCAACATTCTGATTGTACGATCAGAATTTGGCAGAAATGTGAAAGCATGGCTCCATCCTGCCTTGTATCAGCATTTCAGGCTGCTTGTGATGTAACAATTTAGGGGACATTCTTGTGGTATATTTTGGACCCCTTACTACCAACCTGAGTACTGTTGCTAACCATCTCTCTTTGAGACCAGTGTACCCATCTGCTGATAGTTGCTTCTAGTAGGATAACGTGCCACGTCACAAAGCTGAAATCATCTCAAACTGGTTTCTTGAACATGATAATGAATTCACTGCACTCACAGTTACTAGATCTCAACCTAACAGAGCACCTCTGACATGTGGTGGAACAGCAGACCCATCATGGATGCGCAGCTCACAAATCTGCAGCAACTGTGTGATGCAATCATATCAACATGAAGCAACATCTCTAAAGAACGTTTCCAGCACCTCTTTGAATCTATGACATTGAGAACTAAAGCAGTTCTGATGGCATTTCACCACTTTGAGGCCTCAACCAAGAATCAGCTGCATCGTCCATTAATCTGATTTGAGCTGTTCAGGATTGAAAATATCGTGCAAAGTCGTTAGAAAAAAAATCTAATGTGTTATCAAATGTTTTGTTTTCTTAAACATTTAAGAAAATGAGATAGGAGTGCTCAAAGCTGTACACGCATTAAAATATGTGAGGCAGCCGCTGCGATTTCTCAGGAAATACTTCTGCTTCTGGACGACCGGTCCACATTATCGGTATTTCACTTTTTTAAAAAAAACAAAAAACAAAAAAAACAGGTCACTGTTGATCAAGTTTATTGTCTAGAGTTTGCTGTGAAGGCTTAAGGTGTCACAGAGACGTTTCTGGGCCTTTAAATGCACTGTAGAGTAACTTTAGAAGCCCGTGAAAGAAAAAGTAGCTTCAGCCAGAACTTGTTTAGCAACTCTATATTTAGTACGACTCAGCCCGTTGATTCTTCGCCGCACCGGGTTTTAAAATATATCTTTTAAAAAAAGTTAACGGTTGATTTACCTGTTTTTAAATCCGGTCACATCACTGAGACAATCCGTAACTTCGTTTAAAAGTCGCCAGTTTTGCCGTTTCCCGCAAGCGGAAACAAAGTTCCAGACAGGTGAGGCCAGGTGCTCTTCCACTGTTTAAACAGGGAAACGGAAACAGTGCAGAAGTATCACTCCGCCCGAGAAACGTCAACATCCCTGCCCTCTCTCAAAGCGTTATTGTATCGGGGTTCTGATCAAAGTTAGAGTATTTATCTTTATTATTAATCTTTACGGTCTCTACTAAAAAGTCACGTGTTCAGCTAATCAACTTTTATTCCAGAGCTGAAAAGCTGCAGTTCCTCTAGTGAACACTTGAGGAGCTGTCTTCAGAATAGTTCGATCTCTAAATGTTAACATGCCCAATTTTACAGCATAAAAAGCATGTTTACAGCCTCAAATTTACAACAAAAATTTTCCTTTTTCATAACAAACACATTTCCCTTCACAGGCTAATTTATTCACCTGAATACAGAGGCGTGGCCTGTACAGAAACAGAAGGCCAGGAGCCTCCTCTCCATGCCATACATCATAGCAGGTCTCGCTACCATCCTAGAAACGTCCATCTTCATTGTTGTAACTATTCTTCTGTCACAAATCACCACTGACACTCGTCTCCACGCACTCCACCCTAGCACTCGGCCCTTCACCTCTCTTGCAAGCTGTCCATTGCATTGCATTAAACCCAGATATTTAAACTGATCCACCTTCACTACTTCTGCTCCTCGCAGCTTCAGCTTTCCATCTGTCGCTTTTTCATGCACACACATGTTCTATCTTGCTTCTACTAACTTCATACCTCCATCTCTCTGGGCTCTCTCCCACCTTCCTCATGCAGTACCACAGTTCCTGTCTTGGCATCCTAATATAAGCTTTCTCCACAGTCCTCAAATACCAACACACGCTCTTTCTCAGCATTAAGTCATACTGCTCCTCATTGATCATCACCACCTTTTCTTAACTCTTTCTCATCTCTTCATGGCATGGGTTTTCATGCATCCTCTCACTCTCCAAGACTATTAAACAGACTAGTTAAAAATTCCACTGCCCTCTCTCCTAGACATCTCTACAGGTATGTCATCTCAACCGAGCGCTGTTCCACTCTCCTTCCTCTTCATAGCTGCCCTCTCCTTCTCCATAGTAATCCGCTGCACTTCCTTATTCACTAGCTCTCCTCTGCTTTCTACTCTCTCTCATCAGCACCTCACTGTTCCAGCACCTTCAATTATGCATAATATATGCATAATTGAACTGAATAATTATGCATTATTATGCATAATAATTATGACTGCATAATACTCACTGAGTCAATTTTTCATGTGCTGCAGTCTGATGTTGCTTCCAGCTGACAGTATGGAGATATTTGCTCAGAAACAAAAAAGTACCCGTCCTGCTACACACCCGTAACACAGCCATTTCCCCCCCTTTCTCATCCTCATCGTGTTCATGGTGCATATCTCAATAAAGTTGTAGTCCTGATAAATCAGCCTCTAGCTAATGTTTCAGAAATGTATCCAACTTCTTCAGTCTGAAAGGTTTTTTGGTTGCTTTGGTCAAAGGTTTAGGACCTCTGTGATGCTTTACACTATGGAAGATTGTCCCAAAAATCCTCTGTTTGGGTGTTTTTGTAAACTACAGCCTGGTTTCTATTCGTGAGTCTTGCAGTGAATTACCTCATCCCACAGCCATGAAGTCATCAGGTTGTTTTGCATTTTCTAGTTTAAAATCACAGCTGTTTTTTCATAATAGCCCCACCTGTTCATTATTACTGTATCCAAATGCACGCTCATCCCTTTGCTCCTCATATTAACAGACTCCACTGCTATCTTAACAGCATTTCTCTGTGTGTGTGTGTGTGTGTGTAAACTAATGTTGCAATGGCACACAGATGGAAACGAAAAACAATTTTTTTTAAACGCTGTCCTTTCTGTTAAAAAGGCTGTATGTCACAAATAAATCTGTTCTCTAAGCTAAGATTTTATTCTTAAAATGGCAGTAAAAAAGGCATAAATAATGCTCACGTATTTTTTTTTTTTTACCTTCAGATGGTCCATTTTTTGAGATATCGACTGTGGAAATATGTCTTTTCTTGAATTTAATGGATCTACACAACTATATATATGGATAGCTACCTGCTTAATCCAAAAATCCTTGTTGTACGATCAAAGAATTCCAAGGCACTTTTGTTTTTTTAAGTTTACCTTAAAAAAAAACCAAAAAAAACCCCAAAAAACCCTCAAGCACCTTTCAGCTTAAACAATGGCTCATTTGGTTGTCCTTTCACCAACAGGAATCTCCCACCTCGGGTGAGAGTGGAAAATTCCACCAGTGATTCTCCTAAAGTAGGAATTTTTAAAACCTGGACCAGGTGTAGGAGTCTGTCTGGGTCTGTAATTTATAAACATAAAAGCTTCCCTTTGGTTAACACGCCTTTGTCGTGTCACCTGTTTGTCTGTGTGTACGGAGAGATGACAGACAAAGGATTACTCTTATGAAAGTCAAAGGTTTGGACTCATCCACTCATTCATACAATCATAAATAAATAACTAGTAGAAACTGGAGTATCATTGTGAGTGATGGTGTACTGAGGCAGACTCTTCTTGAACCACCATTAATCAGTTTTCTGAGGTTCTCCACTCCTGTGCAGTCATCTTCAACCAGACACCCCAAAACACAATGAGGTCATAATTCCAGTGCAATCACTTTATAAGCTAAAGTTTCTATGGGAAGATTTTCCGCTGGGAGAACAAAAAGGTGTTTGCAAAATAGCAGAACACACAATTAACTATTTACTATTATTTTTAAAAAGAAAAAACCTCTTTCTAGAGAGGCATTCCTGTTATTTGTGATTGATCCTGTCGTGTGTTGCTTTTGTAATTTTGATTTAAATGTGATAAATATTGTGGGCTTTCTGTTAACATTCACAATTGAACATAGAAAACGTTTTGGGTTTTTTTGTTTTTTTTTTTGAATTGATGCCAGCAGCACATCTCAAAAAAGTTTGGACAGGGGAACGAAAGGCTAAAAAAGTAAGACTAACATTAACTAAACTATACCCAGTTGTCAGTAACACCGGGTATACGCAGAGCATCTGAAGTATACTCAGAAGTATAGATGGGCAGAGTTTCACCAGTCTGCACTAAACTGCACCTACAAGTTAGAATAATGTCCCCCAGTGTAAAACTGTAAAGACATAATAGCACAAAAAGTCTCTGTCTGCACAAGGCTGAAAATCAGCTTAGGATGTCTATAATATTCAGGCCGTTGGGCGGTATTGCATTAAAAAGCAGGCATGTCTGTGAACTCAGTTCTCCTCACCATCTACAAATGCAGGTTATAGCTCTATCGTGCAAAGAAGAAGCCAAATATGAACATGATCCAGAAATGCTGTCGCCTTCTGTGAGCCAAAGATAATTTAAACTAGACTGAGGCAAACTGGTCTGTTCTGTGGTCGGGAGAGTCGAAATTTTGGATTCCTTTTCAGAAAACATGAATCAGTGTTTAGTTCAAAAGCTGCATTTCCGATTGTATAAACCTCATACTGCATCTATTTTAACAGCATAGCTTTATAGTAGAAGCCTGCAGTCCAGACCTTTCACCTTCACAAACTGGAAACATTTGACACACCATGAAATAAGAAATACAACAAAGAAGACCCAGGACAGTCGAGCTTCTAGACTCCTACACCAATCAGTCAGTTCCCAGGTTTTTACAGACTGTAGTTAAAAGAAGAGAGGATGCTACAAAATCAAAAAAAAAAAAAAAAAGAAAAAAAAAAAAGCCGTGGGCCAATTTTTTGAGATTACCTCAAAACTACCTCATGTTTTCTTAAAAAGGTAAATTTTCTTAGTTTAAACATTTCTTGTTTTCTGGTGAACAAAATATGAGTTTATGAGATTACCAAACCATTCTGTTTGTATTTACATTTACACAGCTTCCCAACTTGTTTAAAAGTTGTGATTTTTAAGGTCAAACACAAAAATAATAAAAGCGCCATGGAGATCTTCCCTTTCAGAGATGAAGCAAAACAATTTGCATCCAGGAAGCGTTCCTTCCCCCAAAACATTCAAAGCCTTGTTGTTGCCAGTTTCACGCAGGAACTATTTTCTTTCCGTCTACATCTGCTGACAGCTGGCTAACAAAAGAGCTCAGCAAGGGGGAAGACCATTAATTTTTACATCCCGTGTATATAGTTTGCAGGTGTAGTTCGGTAGGGGGAAACGAATTGCTACAACAAACAGATCAAAATAAGCTCGCTGATATTTTTTCTTAGTAAACTGTCCCTTTAAATGTAGCGCCCATTGCTTTGTGCCAAGCTGAATATTCTAATGTCTGCTGGTATTGCTTCCATAGTTTGGAATGACTCAACTGTCACTACACATACTACCTTTGCTCCGGCATGACTCGGGTGCATAGTGCAGTCATAAACAGGACTGGTGAGAGTGGAGCAGCAGCATTCTGTAATGATGAATCTTCCTTTAGTCACGTAAACTGCCTGAAGGCGATGAACAGCCCCAAAATAAATAAATAAATAAAATAATGCTGATGGACAGAAAACAGACCAAAACATCACACCACGCTTTGGGAAATAAAACGGCAAGATCAACATTTTTATTTTAAACTCGACCATAATCTCACAAATTATTGGCTTCTTGTTTAAAACACACACACACACAAAATGCAAATTTCCACTTGAAATGATTCGACTTCACAAAGGCAGGTCAAATATTACTGGGATGTGTCTTTTTTTTTTGTTTTTAACCTCCTTCGTTCACGAAAAGCACAATCCAGCATTTAGAAACTTAAATTCTTATTTGACCCAAACAGAATCAGTATGAACGGCGTACATGTCACACAGCTTTATACAAGGTCGTCCAAAATAAGTCAGGCAGTGTTCGTGAAACCAACCCAACAGCTGGATTTTGATCTCACGACAGTTACAAAGATTAAACAAACAAACGAAAGGCTTCACAGCTACACTAACATTTTGAAAAATTAGTGAAATGATATCTGCAACAAGAGGAAAGTAAAAAAAAGGCTTAAAATGGTACATGTAGAGGAGGAATGCACGGGATGGTACATTCAAAGCTTTAGCGATTAAGGCAAAAGAAAGATGAAGCTACCGTCGACCGTGGACCTGCGTAGAGGACAAATCATGACATCATTTCAAACGTTAGTAACCTCCAGAGGCTGTAAACTCT